AATCAGAAAGAGAGAAAGGAGTACAAATGATAAATAATAGCGTTAATGGTTCTCCTAATCAGTAGAGATGACATGTAATTCTCATAAAATACTATGGATGAAAAATAAATATTAGCGAATGTAGGTAGGTAGTGTCACTTACTTTTTTGGAGAAATGAGTTGGTTGCATCTAAGAATACTGGTAAAAATATAAGAAGGAGAAAACCTTAGAAAAGCAGAAAAAATGGAAAAAACAATAAAAAAAACTCCAACAAGTAGAATTTTTCTGCTCAAAGCAGAGAAGATGACAGCATTGTTGTGAAACATCCTTTTTCTTATAAAACTCGTAGTAAGATGTCTGTAGGCACCATTTAAGGAAAAAGCACGAGTTAAGGGGAAAATATGGAGGCACGAATGGAAAAACAGGATTAGCTACAAATTTTTCAAGTAGAAATCATTATAGTGAGTGATAATTCACATAGAAGCAATCAAGATATCTATTTAATGACGAACTCGAAGCGGTAAGGATTCTAGGATTGTTGAGTAGACTAAATAATGCAAAGAAATTTTTGAAAATTTTCAATACAGAGAAAAGCAAAAAAAAAAATTATGACACTAATCATCAACACAAATTAAATTGAATAATATTTCTTTTCTTTTCTTTTAGTTATGTTGAAGGAGAATGTGCCGATATTGATGTTACATTCCACTGTTCTGCTTTCCTCTCTCTATTGTTCTTTCCTGTGTTCATATCTCTCTCTTTTCTCTCTCCTATATGAGCATATGTTGTATGTGAAGTAACTAAATAAACATCATTGATGAGAATGGCGACAAGCTACTCATCCAGTTTGTCGTTATAGAGACCAAGCTTATTTCTTTTCGCTATAAAAACATGAAGTGCCTACAACTAGACAGTTAATAATTTTAGACAGATTTTAATTACTAGTAAGTAGTTAAAGGTCGTTTCTTCAAATTTATAATGATTTCTATTTCTCCATTCGTGCCTCCATACCGGCGTCCATGTTCTCTCTTAACTCGTGCATTTCCCTTAAATGATACCCACAGCTATGATTGTCTAAAGTTCAAAAAGCTATTTTATTATCAAAAGCTAATGTCCTCTACAAATTGCAGGAGACTTAGTTAAAACAATTTACTTTCAATATTCGTTCGCAAAAATCAAATTTTAAAAAGTTAACTATAAATTTTAATCGTTTTATTAAAAAATAATAAAATTATCAAATTTAAATCAAATGAAATTTTCAAATTTTTAATTTACTTAAAATTTATTTTCTTTATGTTCGCAACTGAGAGGTAGTCTTACATACATTGTACATATGTTAAAACTGGAATATCTTAATTCCCACACTTCATAAACACAGTTCCTATTTTAACGCTTAAACGCTGAATACCCATTGTAAGGCACATTATAATAATTAATTTAACAATTTATCTCAACTAGAAGTCAATTTAAATGCGTTTCTTGTATCAGCGAATAATCTATCAGACTATCGTAAGAACTTTAATTTGGGTCGAATAGGTTTAATGTTCTCGAGTTACAATACACGTTCTTCCATCGTTAGATGTTATGCTAAATTTATTGATTGAGAGAAATTCAGAAGCTCTAAAGAAGGGCTACAGTACAAATTAGGATTTGAACATTATGAAAGAAAATATTTTTTCTTATCTCTCGGTGAAGGTAATAGTTTTTGAATTCAGAAAATTAGTACTGCAATAGTTGTCTTCTTCTTAGAAGAAGACGTACATATTAAGAAAAGGACTAGATTAACTTCTATTTTCAGTCGAACTTTATCTCAATTTTCTAAGCTGAACTGCTATTAGTAATCCATTGTCTTGGTTGAATCTATTCTGCAGCCTTTGAATTAGAAATCCTCCCTATTTTGTTTCGAGTCAAGTTTTCTAAAGTCATTTATCATGTCAATTAGCGAATCAAGCTATGTCAAACAGTAATAAAACAATAAATTCACATTCATTTATAACTATACTGCTGTTCATACAATCGAAGAAGCAAATACTTGTCGTATCGATAATATAACTATATTCATGTATCGATTAAAGTAGAGAACTAGTCATGAAAACAGCTGCACATATTTATGTTTCTTCTAAAATTATCAATCTCAGAATAAGTCAATAGAAACTGATTTTTTTTTAATCGAAATCCGAGCAATAGTTGAATTGTTAGACTTCTCACGCAAAGAGATAGATACCGTTTGGAAGAGCAAAATGCACACAGAACATGAGCCCTATACTAAAGTGAATTTTATTGCTTATGTTTGAAAATTCATGAAGATATTGCTGTTGAGTCGAATAAAGAGAGACACATTCAACTCGACTCCTTTAAAAAAAATCTGGATTCCATCCAATTTCGGTCACTTATGTGGATGAATATGAAGACAAGATTCTAAGACGTGCAAACACTCACATCCTACATGATTATTTGTATTTAATTGTGAAATAAGAGAAAATTGTATAGTATTGTAAGGCTAATAGTCCACTTTCTTCAACTGACATATAAAATCTATTAGAGCTGTTGTATTGAAATAATCGTTCATGAATATCTAACAAAAATATGAAACATTTTATTAAGGCTTCAAAGACTAGAGAAATTTTTAGACAAGAACATAGTATCATAGAAGTTAAAACAATCACAAATATTCCATTAAGATGATGAAACGGACATAAAAATTTATGTGTTTCATATTCATTGATTGAAAGAGACATTTTAATCAAGCAATTGCAATGAGTTTGATTTTTAATCAAAATGATGGAATTAAATTGTTGAAAATGTTTCTTTTAATCAATGAACTTGAAATACATCAATCTTTATAGCCGTTCGATCATTTTAATACAATTTTTTTAAGTATCTAGGTAATAATGAGTAATATACATACGAACATATTCTTTATAATAGAAAGAAGATATTCATAAAGATGTTCTAAATATTACAATAATCAAATCTTTATTTTCTTTTCATTTCGTCAATATAACAAGTATTCTCTTAATTATCGATAACTACTCGAGTACTAGAATCATTGATTAGAATTGGTTACAACTCAATATTGTTCCATACGAAGTAATGTACTAATTAATTGAGTTAATTTTTCACAATAATACCAGTGAGTAATTTCACTATTAAATGGACATTCTTTGTATTCCATATCAATGTAAATAAAAGTAATTGACTCATTATAATTGAGTTTCATTTGTAATGTTGATATATGTCTGATTCAATTAAATCTTTGCTTGCTCGAGATGAATTTTACAATGATTTTTTTTCTGATGTTAAAGGTAAAAGAAGTAATTCATTTCTATATATCAAATATTCAATATAATGTGCAAGGGGAATAAACTGATTTCTACTACTAGAAATCAGTTTGAAATCAACAGAAATTAAGGAAATCAAAAAATTAGTTTGTTTCCCCTTGTGTAGACATTTGTAAAAATATATACCTAAAATAAATACACAACTGACCAAAAGTATTCTTCTTTCCATTTGAATCTCAGATTCTATGAGAGTTTGCCGTCTGAAAATTTGTCTGCAAATAGTTAATAGAGAGTGTAAGTGTGTCTGTGTCTGTTGATATTTCCCCCATCTCTGCCCACACTGTACAAATCGCCACCGGTCTTTTACTATCAAGGTGATCAATAGATTAGCATTAATGTTTCATATTTACTATGAATCAATTGATTGAAAAGAATAATAATGATGGATTCGTGATGTTGCGTTCCATGTTCTTCATGGATTAAAAACTAACAGAATTTCAATTGAAATTTAATAATCTTTACCAAACACAAACTTCACAAATGGGTTTGTATAGATAATCTAACAATAAATTTTAAGAGACGTACTTAAAGAAAAACAAAAAGTGTTTTGATAGGTCTATCGATAAAATTAAATAGAATAAATATTCTATTAATTGTATTTATTTTTTTTTGCTCTTCTCTGATAATTTCAGTTTTCAAAATCCAAAAAAGGGTTTCTTTTCAAATATTATAATATGAAACTAGTCTAATCTTAATCTCGATAATAAGAATTTGTGACAAACAAAACTTATCAAGAAATAATTGTGATTAGTGAATTATTCTTTACACATGTCCCGAATATCCGTGTGCTTTTGCCATGAATGCATTTTGGCGTAAACAGCTTTTTTTAGTGAATGAACTCATCGCAGAAAAATCATTTGCTTTCACAATTTATGAGTATGCATTTCCGTTTCCGTAAAATGTCATCCTTTTAGGGAAGAGCAACAAATTCATCATAGCTAGTGCCACAGATTTCATCTATTTTTATATTTATAAACGTAAACAGTGAAAATTCACTGAAAAGGAGCTATAGGCTTTTATTCAATCGAACTGTTTATGCATCTCATAGTGGTTCTAATTCTTGTGAAGTAACGAGACCATCATGAGTGAATTAATCATCTAACACATCGAATTGATCAGTGTACATGATAATTACACTGTACTAGCCACAAAGAAAGTTATTAGTAGTTGTTCTTCATGATCAAGAAAATCTATTGAAAGGGCTTTTGTTAATCTTTTCCCTGTATATGTTTATTCATTGTAGTATAAGAGAAATACTATTTTACATCATGCTTCTTTACTATAGTACACACATATTTACATCAGAAAATTAGTTTTTGTTTTGGTAAAAATAACATATTTCACAGTATAGAGTTTTCTTCGTAATGATGAGTACTATTTTTGGTTTGACTCAAGTGTAACTCAGTTTCTATTTCTGTTTTGCATCGCGTAGTTCATAGTATTTTGTATTTCAATGAGATCTGAAGTATTCATCTTGATTCTTGTCTTGAAATAAAAGGGTGTAGATATGAGTACGGATGTGACTGGGTTTAAAGAAATATTAAACACATTCACACTCATCCCATACCAAAATTCCACGATGTATGTCAATGTTTGGAAAACTTTTATTTGGGATTTAAAGAAATACAAGTTTCAAAAAAGAAAGTCTCCTGAGCAGTGACGATTTCAAGAGATGATCGTCAAAATGATTCAATTCGAACGATTGGATGAACAGTGTCCCTTCTAGTCTGTCGTCCAGTAAATGTTGGTGCTATGAGTAATATGTTTGTTGGACCTATTTGATGATGTCTCAGATTGAATCGACATTTCAAATACATATTAATCGTTTGACGGAAACGTGATGATGAAAGAAGAAATATGTAAAAAGACGAAGCAAAATTCATAGAAATGATAGAGGCAGTCAACTGATCGACGAGAAGCATAATGGACTGATGCTCAAAACTTCTCGTTGTACTCTCGTCAATTGTAGCAATCGAGTAAACGACGTAAATGGCTCGAGGAAGTGTAAAAAAGATACTGAGAAGAGTTTGAGTTAGCATCATTCTTGTCATTTGTTGTTCCCATGTTGACATACGAGTTTGATGTGGATGTTGACGGATACGAGTTACAAGACGAATATTACGATATGCCAATAGTCCAAACAATATTAAAACAATTAGAGGAAGAAAAACAATGAGAATTGGAGACAAAAGAAGAACTCCTATTCGCATAAAGAGATCGTTTGTAAACCAGCAAGTGAATGTCGGTGGTATCAGATCACAATACACGAGAAAAGGAATATTCACAAGTGAACAAAGAATAAATGGAATAGGAAAGAGACAACGAGCTACACGAATTGAACTTAATTGGCGTATTCGAGCTGATGAAGATGTACATGCCCAACGATCAAATGCAGAAAAACAAAGAAAGCTCATTGCAACAGACGTTGTCATTTGAATAAAAAAGACCATTAATTTACAAACAATTGACGAGACCGACATTAATGTAGCTGGAACTATATGAAGAAGAACTATCAACAAAACATTCACATCGGCTAATGATTGTCCCACAACATAAAAAACCAATGGAGTTTGACGAAATGTTTTTATGCTGATGAATAGTATTGCATTGAAGAACGCTCCTGGCGCTCCAATTGAAAATAAAATAATTGAACCCCAAAATTCGATTCGAAGAGCTACTTCAATGGCTGACATCTTTATCTTTTGTTGAATTGAATGAGCACGTGCACAATTCTTCTTTGATTAAAATAGAATTACTCAAATGTATTCTCACTACCTGTTTTTACAATATCTCTTTATCTCTATCTTTCCTATGACATCTTCAGATAAAATCCAATTCAAGTGCTCGCCAGGAGCACTCAAACATGCCAACAACACATTGATCATCAAGATCAAAACTCGTATTAGATTCTTTCGGATAGAAACAGTATCATTATCATCTTGTCAAATATGATTGTCTTGTTTCTGACAATTGTTTCGAAAAGAGACTTGCTAAAAGATGAGATATATTCTATTTTCATTTTCATAATTACCTACGAATATTAAATAATTTTTCATGGAAAATATTAGAAACAAACCAAGTAAATTAAGAATGATTTTCTTCAAATAGATTCATTCGATAAATGGAATATTTGTTGATTGAAACTCGCTACAAGAGAATGTTTGCCATGAACACTAGTGACAATGATTTTCCAAAAAATGCCACTTAGCTTCTTATATTCATTATTTCCACTATATTTTCATTAGTACTTTTTCAATTATTTGTGTTCAACAAACAGAAAGTAGAAATACACTGCTGTTTGACATAAACCAATATTAGATGATGATTGCCTGTCGAACGCATTCAATGAAACAGACACATCAAAGTCTGTTAGAGATTATTAATTTGTAATCTAAAGAGAATAAGACTTTCCAGGAACCGTTATGGTGGATGAAAACTCAACTTAAAACGCCAATTCATGACATACAAGAGAAAAATCAAGATAAGAAAAATTTCAATTTGATTATGTCATCAGTCTTCTACGCACTTTCATGATTCAATTATCTTCAGAAGTCATATGACTGAATCGGTTTTGATCATTTAAGTCAAATAGATTTTTTTTGTAAAGCTCAGAATTCTCTCGGAAGTCTTGAGAATGAATCATTAAAAAAATAACAATTAGCAACGGCGGTGCGAAAAAAAAGAAATCATACATCGTTCATTTGATTAAGTGCCTTAATAGAGAGAACTAATAGCTGTGAAATTCAAAAAAAGTCTCTATCACTATATCATCTGTGTCTCTAATTTTCTTCTAAGCTAGGAGGAACACCATGGAAGCTATCAGATACTTTCTATTTATTCTCCTCCACAATACCTGAGATAGTCTTCGATCGTCGTTACATTTTCCTCTTCGAATTACCACTTTGATATATTAGACTCAAATGGTTACTATGCTCTCTTAGGAAAGCGAAAGATCTATGATTTCATACAATCTCGAACTCTTAAAAACTTAGAGAAGTTAGTTTAAATATCTGATAATTTCTCTTCTTAACTCTAAACTTCATTCATGATACATATGATGATTTCAGGATAACAACGCAGGATTTCTTCGTCGTACTATTCTTTCGCTATGACTGACTAATATATCCGACAGATCAACAGAGAATAATAATATGTCGATGTGTGGGGGGTCTGAATGTGAGTGTGATTTGAGTGAAGAAAAGGCACACACCTACACTCGGTAACAAATTAATGCAATTTTATTTTCTTTCAAGGAGTTTCTCAATGGGTCGCTATTGATGCCACATGTTTTGGTAAACGCATTGAATACTTGATTGAAAACTAAACTACACGATTATTTTGTTGCGTCACGAACATTTTTCAGCAAGAAACCTAAGAATTGCATCATATTTTCATAAGGAAGAGTCGTACAGATAAGAACAGCACAAACAGATTATATGTAATTTGACAACAATATTCATCGTTATCATTTATATTACAAATGTGAGAGAAAAGATTAATTTACTAATCAATAACAGATGAAAAAATTTGATATTATTCGTTTCAATATTCAAAAGGTAGATTTTAGTGAGTTTTCTTCATTTTGCTTCGATATTTTTATCATTAGAAAGTTAGGTATTCTCATTCCTGGTATTAAAATCTGAGGGCTATCAACATGACGATTTCGTCTTCATATTGGCAATTAAATATACTGAATTTAGAGCGAGAGAGAGAGGAATTTGATTCATTGTTGGGTACAACTAGAACACTTATCATTTCCTTTCGAAACTATCATTATCTTGTTCGTTAGTAAAGAATTCCATTTCTAAAGATAATTTTAACTTTTTCAGAAATATGAAATCATATTCCGAGAGTATGTTGATTAGTTTAGACAATCTCTAAAGTATTTATTCAGATTTTCGATAAGACAAGTTCACTATTCTACAGACAACAATTAAAGGTCAGGATATGAGTCAAATTATTCTCATAGCATAGGTCTTTTATTTACTTTAGAAATGTAAATATGAAGCATGTGTTCTTTCCGGAAATGTCAGACAGATTGTTCAAACTCTATTTCACAGAATATGTTCGAGTTATCTTAATAGTATAAGACGGGCTATATTATGAAAAGTGTTATTTCTATTGTCTTAACTTTAAACTCGTTCAATAATAAAAGTTAAGATGGAAAACCTTATTAGACTTGTTGCTAACACAAGCATGATCTCGTGGAAACCGAGCATCTTTCATATGAGCTTATGAAGCCAAGTAAAGCTATATTAAGCTGTATAATATTTATAACATATTATTTTCGGGATTATTAACGTCTTTTGTCATAATTGAGAATGATTTCTTATTCTGTTGAAAATGTTTGTATAGCATCAACGTTACACAATGAGAGCTTTGCTTTGTTTGCTACGAATAAAATGACAAGCATGTTAATGAGACTCGTTCAGATTTCTTTTGATTCTATACAACATGTTGCAGTTTCGACTTGTACTTTAAATTGTCAACATTAGTCGAATAAGACTCTAGTGAGCATATTTTATTAATCATGTGTTCTTCATTCTCTTGAAAAATACTACACGTACATTTTTTGTACTGAGAACAGTAATCCGAAGAAACTATTTGTAATTGGTGCGTGTGAATGTGATTGTGCATCACATCTTCATTGAGATTCATCATATCACTATCATGTACTTGACGATATTCTAATTGATTCTTCCAATCATTCATGTAATGTTCCCTATTCATCAAACGTCCAAGAGTTAATTTTGAGAATGATATACGAATTCCTTTATTTTTACTATTTTGTTTTATTGATTGTTCATCTTGTTTAGAAACAATTGTATTAAAAATATTGTTGTATTATTATCAAGATGTTTCATAAGAATCTATACTTACTTTTCGTTCATCAATATAAAAAGTATTCGCTTGATTGTCAATACATACTTGAGTACTAGAATCAATGATGAGAATAAATCTATGATTAGGATTGGTTATAAAACAAGATTGTTCCATACGAAGTAATGTACTAATTAATTGAGTTGATGTTTCACAATCATACCATTGAAGAAATTCACTATTAAATGGACATTCTTTGTATTCTGTATNTCAATAAATATTGTCATTTTACGTCCATATAATGGACTAAATATATTTGCTACACGTTTATCAACAAAATTTTCTATAGTTTTTTGTATTAAACTACTTGTTGTTATTGATGAAAAATTTATTATACGAGTTAAATGTTGTTCACTATCATAATGTTTTAAATAACTTGTAATTATAACAGTTTTAGCTGTACCAGGTTCACCAATTAATAATACAGCTTTTTCTTGTTTCGAAAGTATACGAACATTACCAATATTAGGAACAAGAATTGATGCAAAATCAATTTTTTCATCCTTTGGATATTCCCATGATTCAACACGAGTCGACCAATGTTCTAATAAAAAAGATATGAACTAAATCCTTCGTTAGCAATGTGACGAAGTACAAAAACTGCTCTCCTAACTGAATGAGAAGTTGAAAATCAACTTCCAATGATAAAAATCCTTCTTTAGAATCTCTAGATATTTCATATAGTTAGAGAGATATTCGTTAATTACTTTTTCATTTATGGTCAGCTGAAAGAACCAAGATTTATATACATACTTATGCTAAAAGGACTTATTTAAAAAAAAAAAAAACTTTTGTAAAGAATCAAAGTCAAGTGAAAGGTAGATATGTCATGTTTTATTTGACATGATTCATGTATTATTTTTTATAATTGAAAGTGACAAAGGATGATATATCATTTAAACTTACCCCATTGGCCATTATCATTAACTAAATAATCAAAGATCGAGTCACCTTGTGGTATATTCTTCGGAATATTAATATCGCTTTGACCAATAAAATATTGTTCAAGTTTAGCTCGGTCATTTAATTCTAATAGTGAACCCATACTATAAAAAAACAATGTCAAAATATTAATGTTATACTCTTGTGTTCGAGCATCTTTCATCTTTTACGTAGTGAGTAATATGAAAAATGATTTTCCTAGGAATAGTTCGTCTTTGATATAAACTCATCAAATAGCACGATCTTTATGATAAAAGCTTTATCAGAACTAATAGCCAGTCAAAAATTGATTTTTCATCTGAATGAAGCCTTTATAATAGAAATGAATGATGCTAAATCATAATTAGAATCAATGAGTCCAAATTACAGTGTTTTATTCAGATTTGTTCTTCAGAAGGGTAAACATCTATTTTCAGGAGTGCAGTAGAGGCCGTCGAATCCAACATTTTTGAATCGAAATTGTATTGATAATAATTTTAATAATTTTTTTTTATCTGTCTTGATCGTCGTTCAGAAGGCACGAAATAATTTTTTGTCTTATTCAGATTTAGTAAGCAACATACCCTAAGCATCTCTCACAATATCTTGACGGTGATCGTATAACAAAAGAGTCATAATTGATTGAGAGCAGTTTCTCAAGCACAAACACATAATACAATATATCACTCCGGCGAAATGAATCATATTTTTTGAAAAAGGAATTCATGGTAAGTAGGTTTCCAGCGTCATACAGATAAAATCAAAACATAACTGTGAAAAGTCATTAAAAAATTAATTTTATGCCAACCAAGATGAACCGTTCATTTTTGACTCATTCTCTATCTCCACAGACATATGATTTTGCTTAAATTTAACTACCTCAGAGCTCTAATTAGCATACAAAAAAAAATCTCCTTATTGAATTCATATACCTCCACATAAGTGCAAATATAGTCAATCGTTCTAAAAAGATTTTCGTATATTCGATTTCTTTATTCAATAATCCATCAAGTAAATCAATGATCTATAAATAAGAAATCATTAAAATTTCAATCTATTTATATATGTAAAGAAAAATAAAAAACAAACTTGTTTGATATAATTACATGCATTAACTTTCATTTTCGGTAAACATTTTGTAATTAATAATTTAAATAATTCATCAAAATGTTTTTCAAGTATTTCAAATATATAAATTCTAATAGTTTTTATTTGTTTATTCATCCATGCTTGAAATATAGGTCTCCAAGGAAGAATTGTTGATGACATTAAATATCATTCCACAACGTGATACTGTTGCTGGTGATGCATTATCAATATTATGTACTTCAAATATAAGTTTAACATTCGATGCCATTGATATACGATCACCATTTGCTAATGTTAATAGTTTATTATCATCTAATACAGAATTAAGATTTTCTATCCATATAGCATCAACAGGACCATCAAGAATAATCCATCAAGCTTCATCTATATAGTTATAAAAGAATTTTTGTTAATAACAAAAAGCAAAAAATAAAACAAATGTACGTATTCCTAATTTTGTTGATACTTCATAAGCTTTAAAATACGACGTCAAAGAGTAGAAAATATACCATCTGTCCAATCATTGGTTGAAACATCAAGAATACCAAACATTTGAGATGCTGTAATCGATTTTGGATTCATTCGATAATCACGCTGGCAAAATGCATTCACATTTTATTTTTAAAATACAATAAGATGCGTCCGTCAGGAATGTACTACGATTGATAAAAGTATTGGTGCCAGTAGTGGGATAACATGGAATTTATAGAACGTGCTGTGATAAGTTGATAGATTAAAACCGTAGATCTGTAGTTATTGTGGAAAACAAGGTTATTACCGTTGTACTTACTCAGCAAAAATAGTGAAATTTTGTCCTTTTTGCCAGCTATGTTGGTTCATCATGTGAAGCTTATATTGTCTCTCATCCTGTGCCGAAATGAGCGCGGATAGTTTCCAATGAAAGAATATTGAAAATACTACAAATCCAAAAGGAAAACAATTGTCTTATGGAGGAGTTCTCTAGATCAATTCAAAAAAAATGGAATCACATCCTTGACTAAAGCCCTCGGTTTTGAACAAAATAAGTTATTTTGCAAATTACTACGACTTAAGATGGCTGAACTAACGGCTTTGAAACGTGTACATCAGTGAAATTTCTCTAATCAGTTTCTAAGTAAGCCCCTACAGACACTTGCCGTATTATCACTATCAATTTTCAACGATAAATTGACAATATTTCGTTTTATTTAGAAGTTGACGCTCTATCCGACGATATTATTGAAATTATTCTTGAATAAATCTAGACACATCCAATAATCAATAGCCATTATGTCAAATTTCTTTCATGGGGAAAACTCTTTTCTTCTGCAATAGCTACAGGTCTATGTCTATCATTAATAAATTTAGCACAGCAAACTCTAGAAAACCTATGTTGTCTCGCCGTTGGTGCTCATATTTTTATTGATTGTAATATGTCCTTGATAGAAGTTTCTAACATTAAATCTTACCGTATGTGTACCTAAAATTGTCAATGCTCCTAATAACAGAGAAAAATGATTCATTTATTAAAATAATAATTTTTTTTTCACGTACCCATTAAAATTTGAGAACATTTTGTTTTTCCAGCTCCTGAAGGTCCAAGTAAGGTGCGGGAAATTCGAAACGTTCACGCATTCTTGAATTTTTTCGAAACATACATCATTCGATAGAGCTCAATGAGTAGATTCCGAATATCTACTTGAAATTGAATTTTTATCAAGTTTTGGCTGAGAAATCTTGAAAATACTAAGGAGCAGTGAAAAAATGAACTTTTTACATTTTTGTAGAANACTCAGATTCTTGCCAACAGACTCGTAATCAGTAAAGACTTTTATAGAAATAGCAAATAAAAATATCTGATTTACAGATCTTAAATCATGTCAAAATAATAAACGTGAAAATATATTGCATAAAAACTGACCGGGACCACTTTGCAGTTCCCTACGTTGGAGACGCAAGAAAAAAAATATTAGAGAAGTAAACTCCATTTACTGAGTCTGTTCGTGTAAATCGTCTGCTAGAAAACTTTGAATGACGTACTATTATATTTCTCAGCTCGAATATTTGTTAAAATAAAGAATGCTTCAAAACTTTTACTATATCTGTTATAAATTAAATTGATAATTGTTCTTTTTATTCTAAGCTTGTTAATCATATGTATCAAATATCATTACAACAATTTCTTGGTCTATTTCATGATTCAATGATAAAGTATTTGATTTGTTTTTCGTAGTTAAACTTTTAAATAATTTATTTTTAAAGATCACATAAAATTGCTGCAACACAAAAGCGTATTCAAAATATTAATGATTATTTAACATATCGAACATGGTTTTATACAACACGTGGTTTATATGAAGATGACAGACTTATGTTTACATTACTTATGGCATTAAGAATTGATTTACGTCGAGGAAAAATACGTTATGATGAATTTGAAGTATTAATTAAAGGTGGTGCATCATTAGATTTAAATACATGTCCACCGAAATTATTTCGTTGGTTAAATGATTCATCTTGGCTTAATCTATTGGAATTAAGTCGATTGAAAGAATTTCATGATGTTATCGATCGAGTATGTTAAATAGATATTGCTCAAAGAAGTCGTTTATTGAGAATATTGAAGTTTTATCGTTGAGAAAAAGAGGAAATAAATAATGAAAGTAATTTCTTTACATAACAAAAATACAACTATCGTTGAGTAGAAATAAATAATCAATGCTTAAACATTGTATGTATATGCATATCACATACTATTTGTTTTGAAGATCAAATAAGTAAATGACGGCTACGAAGTATTTGAGAATTTTTAACACAATTCAATGGTTATTTTTTTTATTCGAACTTTCAGTGGAATTCTTTCACTTTAACACTTGATATAAAAGAATTTTCGTACTGTTAACGAATCAAAATCATTCATGTCAATTTTATGTATTCATAAAAGTATACAAATCGTAAAAAAAAGTTGCTCGATTTTAGAAATGAAACCATTGTCAAATACCGGGACCGGGACTAAAAAAAGTGATTTTGCAGTTCCCTACTCCAACGTTCGTCACAAAATATTCTTTCAGCATTTTTTTTTGTACGTATTTGATCATAGTCTATATTTGTGTGACAATGACAGGTAATCTAAGTTTCTACACCAAAAACCGCTTACTGTATACTATTAAAATGCTTCTTTTGGCTTAATCGTTTTACTAAGTGATATGTTGTCCGTAAATAGGCCTTAGTGAGCTAAGAAAAATCTCTAAAGGGTTTGTGCACATAAGTCTTCCTTGTTGAGCTTTGAATTGTTTGAGTATTTTCCATGCGAACGTAGAAGACTGTAAATGTTTTCAAGAGTCTACTTAATGATAACTTGATTATATAAGATTTTTCAACATTTTTTCTACAATATCATTTCCATTAGAACGAAAACTATTCATCTTCATGATTTTCATATGCAGTTTAATATTCATTACCCAGCAATACAATGAATACTTGTATTCCTTAAGAAAATCATGGTGAAATTTCAAGAAATTTTGAGATTTATCATTTATAGTTCGCCAAGACCTACTTTTGGGCAAAATATCAACTGAAAACAATGTAGACATCTGAAAATGTTCTCTCGTGAGTTACAGAATGTAACTTATAAAAAATTTATTTTCTATTCTGTTAAATAAAAGAATTTTGTAGACAATAAAATGCTACACACTCCGATAGGAAATTTTAGATGATTTATTATTTCTTAGTTTGAATATTTACGAAAAGAAAGAATATTGCAAAATTTTTGACACACCTAATTAAAAAAAAAGCAAATCTGAATACATACTGCAATTTCTGACATAAGAAAATAAATGATCGATCCTCGAACAGCAACAGGTCGATATTCTTCTCTTGCTGTACTAATTTTCATTTTTGTATCTTCAGCAATAGAAACTTTTTCTTTAACTTCCGTAGCTATTCGTTTATTTGCATTAAGTACTTCAACAAGAGATGGATCATCAAGTACTGAACCCTGATAATGAAATTTAATTAAATATTATTTCTGAATATTTAAAATAATTATTTTTGTTTTTACTTCAATACTTGTTAATTTAATTAATAAATTTTCTTCAAGTTCTTTTAACATTCGTTTATTTTTTGTTGTTTCACGTGCTAATGTTACACGTTCACGTTCAAGTTCCTAATATATTTAAAAACTTTGTCTTTTCACTGCTTTTTTCTTTCTTTATTAAACATACAGCACGTTCATTAGCAATAACAAGACTAAGTAATTGATCTTCTAATCCACGTTGTGTTACAGTAAAATCAATTACTGATACTCGTGCACATATTTCGGGTGAATAAGTTGGATTAGCTAATTTTGTTGTTATATATAAACGAAATGTATGATTAACATCCTGAAATATTTTATATGATTTAGGTGGTTTTTATTATTAATTTATTTTTTAGAAACAAAAAAAAAAAAAAACAAACCACTTCACGATCACCAACTTTAACCTAAAAATTTATTCATATTTAATTTATTTGTATGATAAAACAACAGAAAAGAACGTACTCGTAGAGTAAGACCTATTTTCACATAGTGTTTTTCTAAGATATGATCTAAAATTGGATCTAATTCTTCATCAACATCTTCAATTAATAATGGACGTCCAAGTGAAATTGAATCTTCAAGTTGTTGTCGAAACATTTTTGAATTAAATGTTGTTATTAATATATCATTATCACGTTCCATGTTTTTTATCCATGATTTTCCTTGTAATTGCCTATGAAGTTATTATTCAAAATCAATGAAATATACAAAAATGGCTAAAATTATATGAATAATGATATTTTTTATTTTTGTCTATAATATCAAGTATCTAACTCAAATTACAAATAGTGTTTTAAGTAGACAATAAAATTCTCTATCAAATGTATTCTATACCGAATTTTCATCGAGAAAATATTGCATTATCAAAAACTAATCTTCTTCATCAATGTAATTTTCATGCGAAATGCACTTAGATATGTACTACGTAGTTTCAGTCGAACTGTTACTAATGCATGTCTAAATATATTTGAAAGCGTATTTTATTATCTATTCAAATCACTATTGGGATTTGAGTTAGATGCTTAATGTTGCAGGACAAAATAAAAGATATTGTTGTTCTTATAACTCTATCTACTACTATATTAAATAGAAAATATATTACGGATCGATTAGAAGTGGATAACGATAGTTCGATGTTGCTATAATACCATTTTGAATCGATAGATCATCATTAGGTAAACCTTGTAAATTCCATTCACCGATCTATATATATATAATGTTTTAGATTATGTTCAATAGGAAGATTCAAGATAAATTTAAAGAATTGTGTTTTCTTCTGAATTACTCAATATTGTACAATAAATTCCTTTAGTTATTCTAACGTTCAATATTGATGATTACATGCAAAAGTAATAAAGATTGTAAGCGGCTCTATTTGAATAAACGAAACTTTTTATAATCATATCATGATATTCTTTTATTTATGAATTTTTATTCTTTGGCTTCTTTTTTTGTTTTTTTTTTACTGGAGAATTCGACGATCTTATTGATAAACGAAAAGAATCTTACTGTTGCTTCATCATTTAATTGTTCGATAATATCAAAATTATCCGAAAATGGAATAGTTCTTTGTTGTATTTGTTTTTGCCATTCATTTATCATACGTTGTCGAAAATCTTGATTAAATGGACCACAATATGATAGAAAAGCTGTTACAATAATAGTATTTCCAATTAATCTAATATATTAAATAAATTCATATAATCATATGAAGAAAAAGTCAAAACAACAATAAATGAAATTACTTTTCAATACTCTGTTCAAATACTTTATTTTGTTCATTCCATCGAATTTTTTCACCTGTTAATCCTGATATTAATGTATTTGCATCATCACGTCGTTTAAGTAAAGCATCATAATCTGATTGATATGTCTAAATATATTCGAGTTAGATTAATATTGTTAATTCAATGAGAAAGTAAAAAAAAGACTTGTTTTGTTTGCATAGCTGCATCAAAATCATGTTGACATTTAGCTAAACCAATTTCAGTTCTTTCAAGTTCTCGTTCAGCTCGAGCTAATTTTCTTGAAGCTTTTCGAAGTGAATTTTCTGCTTTTTGTACTTTATCCTAATTAAAAATTGATAAATAGAATCTAATTTTTATTATGACTTATACTTTTATTGGAATAACTTCTTTATTAATTGCATGATAAGATTGAATCTTATCTAGAAAAGTTACAATTAAAAAAATACTTCTTTTAGGAAAAATAAAAAAAATTTAATTTGCCTGTCCATGTTTTTAATGTTGCTAAATCTTGATAAGCTTTTCGAGCTTTTTCAGATAGATCTTTTATTTCTGTATATGGTGCAAGTAATTCAATGATTTCATCATTAAGTTCACGTATTGTTAATAATGTTGATAATAATCCGGAAAAATTAAGAAGTCTTAAAATTTCTGTTTTTGATGGTACATAAAAAGGTTCATCAAGATTATAATCAATTCGTATTGGATCAATACGTCGTTTCATTAATATTAATGCCATATCAAGTACAATCATTATAGCTTCGGGAGGTTTTGCTAATTTACGTAGATTAGTTATTGTATTTCCTTTAATTTGCTATTTGAATACAAAAAGATTAAAATTGATTCTTTAATGTTTAATTGAAAAAAAATGCCTGTTACAAGTAGGACGAATAGAGCAGGGTATGGTAAAGGTACGAAACCTTTAGGATGGGGTATAACTTATGAAAAAGTCTTACCCTGCCGGACTCTGTTCGAAACCACATTTTTTCTAAAAACTTCGAATGATTTTCTTCATTGTCCGCTTGAAAAATATACTTTTTCAGAAAAAGAGAAAAGGTTTTTTTGCCTTGTCTCCGCTTATTACCACTTAAATAAAATGTGTCGTATTCTGTCTGCTAACTATTTATTCACCGTTTCGTTTTGTGCACACACCTATATATATATGATCAACTCAATTGAATATAATGAACTTATTTATTTTCTAGATTATTTATTGATTGAGAAAACACTGTCTTGAAGCGATATGATTAACATCAAATGAATTCGATACGATTTTCATCTCAGAGTCTAACCATCTCGAACTTTAAGAATAATTATCACAATTTTGAATGTAACAGAGTAAATATTAATTATTACTATCTGCAGAAAAAAATGAAAAATGCGCTGAAGACTGGATTCGAACTACGTTTTCAGTACGTGTTGCACTTTAATGTGACGTACATTGTGTCGAAAAGTATGACACATTTTATTTTATTGCGCAGAACATTGCAGAGTCTGTTTTTTGTCAAGTAAGATTTGTCACTATTATATAAAAGAGTACTTTTATAATCAGAGTATCACTTTTTCGAGACATTGAACTTTTCATTGCTTTTATTCGCTGAAAAAATCTCTGTTATGCTCTGCATTTTTAGCATGCTCTTTCCAACAACAACAAAAATTTAAGTTTATCAAATGAAGGCTCACAGAAAAATTTGAGTTGCCCAATAAGCTACTTTTGATTCTTGTTTATTGAATATCTCCCGAAAACATCATAGTATAGAACTGAAAATTTCATGTGATTTGAATTTACTTGATTGAAGATTGTTTTCTAAGGCGAAGAGGATTGACCTTAGATAACTATTTAGACTTTTAAAATATAATTCTAAATAATCTTTTCTTAACGATTGTTGACTGAAAAATCACAAGACACGAGTTCTTATCTTTCTTTGTGCGTTTTATCTTCATATCATTATGCTTATATAAAGTATCAACGGATATAGACATAGGCACATCATATTTTTGCGACTGCACTTTACTTTTTTTTTTATTAAAAGAAAAAATGTTTAAACTCTTCGCTGTTTTTCTTGGTACTATGTTAGTAGCTGTCAGCTGTGGTTTAATTCCTGGTGGTTATTCTGATCATCCGGAATTACTTGAAGATCCACATGTTAAAGGTTTAGTTAGTTATGCTGCTGAACATTTGGCTGTGACACAAAATATTTTTCTTAATCATCTTAAAGTTATTCGTGTTCAAACTCAAGTTGTTGCTGGTATTAATTATAAATTAGATTTTACTGGTGAAAATGTTAATGGTGGTAGTGGTAAAGTAAAAACATGTCAAGCTGTTATCTATGTACGATTTGATCAAACTCAACAAGTTACTAAAATTGAATGTCATTAAAAGCCTAAACTTTTATCTTTTCAAATTTGCATTTCTTTCCTTCATCTTTTTTCCGAAATAAAATTCAAGTTTATTCTTTTTATTTTTCTTACTTTAACAGCTTCTTCAGCTTCATTTAAAATAACTTCAGCAGCTGATAATTCTTCTTCAGCTAGTGCTTTTTCTTCATTTACTTGTTTAACAAGTATTTCAGCTGTTTCTTTTGATTCTTGAACTTCTTTTGTTTTGCTTTCAGCTGCACTACGTAATACTTCCATTTCGGCTACTTGCTGTAGAAATATAATAAAACAACAAAAAAAAAAAAACGAACATGATAGATAATATGTTAATGTCAATATGAAAACTATTAGAGATTTTGACCTTAATAGAAAACGTCATAGTTACTAAAAACACAAGAAATATCGGCAGTTGACTAATATCTTATGCGTAATAACGAAATAAAGCCATTGAATATTCTATTTAGATCACAAGACCAAATATTTTTTTATCTATTTTCAAAACAGTGTTTGATAAAATAGATTGTTGCAGGCACTGTACAAAATCAAAGCGTCCAACACTCCACTAATACTTCCTATGAGATCAGTACTCATCCATTCTCAATGTATTTTCAGTGGAAGCCTAGTTCTCCACGTGTTTCTTTTGTACTATTTTTTTTTTAGCAGTCGAAGAATTTCTCTTATTTCTCTTTGTAAGAAATAATTCGATGATATACTGAACAGAGTTACATGCAAGAATTAGAGAAGATGATATCACGAAAGTTCGAAAGGTTTTTAAGGAACATAAAGTATGTTGCATTTTTCCTTTTTCATATGAATACATTAGTGATCGAACTTTTTATCACATGGAGAAATTCTTGTAATACAGTTGTGCTGCAGCGAATAATTTTAACAATAGAAAAGTTCTTAAGCATACGCAATTTCATCGGTAAAATTTTATTTCGTTCGCTAATAAATGACAAAAGATTTTTATACTTTTGCTGCTTCCATATTAGCAATAGCCATATATTTTTCTTTAGAAATTAATTCTTGTGTAATTTCTTGAACTTGTGCAGCTGCTTCAAATAATTTTTGAACACCAGTTTTCATTTTATATTTTTCTTTTTCAAAATATTCACGTTGTTTTTGATAATATAATTTAAATGCATTTATATATCTGAATAAAAAAAATAAATTTCAATAGTATCTATTCGTATAGTATTTTTCTTACGATAGAAATGATTTCGGTGTTACATATGTACGTCGTCGAAATTTTTCATAATAATTTTCACATATTCGACTAACATCATCATGAATATCGGCCATTAATTCGATAACATTCTTTTTTATTGTATTTGATGTAACAAGAATATCAAAACGATTTAAATAAACATTTGATACAGCAATAAGAGCATCGAGTGGCCAACGATGAAACCTTAAATTTAATAAAAAAAAAAAAATTTCTTTTACAATATGAAAAGGTTTTTCTTTTTTATCTCTTCAGTATTACAAACCAATCGATAGTACAACCAGAAACTAAAGCTGGAAATTTTAATGCACGTTCACGAAATTTTCTATTATCGGGAGAAAAACATAAAACAATATGAAGATTTTTACGAAGTCTTTCATAATAATAATTTTGTAAATTTTCATTTGTTAATGCTCGTTTTGGATATTCTTTTTTCATTTTAACTGATAATTCCGATAAAGTTTCATCCATTTCTTCACGTGTTATTAAACCAGAAACCTTAGAAAAACATTCAATAATCATAATAACAAGGAATACTATCTATTCTGAGACATATTTGTTCATACACTATAACGAAACATTATTGATATATGATCAGTCTGATCTGGTGGCCTCTGGACTGAAGCTTGTGATCTGTATGACACATCTACTAAAAAAACCTAACAACTCAATTTTATCCTCTCATAAACTTTCTAGCCTGTTAGGAACTTCGATCTCTAGTCCACTTTCCCTGAAAAAATCCTCCGCGAATCACGTAACAGACTGCCGCGGGAGGTCATAAAAGTCCAGCAGTGAGTCCCGTGGGAAATCGAATTGTTTTATGGATTTTTGCGGGAGTTCGGGACTTCCTCGGGGCTCGTGTGCGATTTTCAGGAACTTCCTGGAGACTCCCCAGAGATTTCTCCTTTTCTCCATGACTCTCTTAGGATTCCCGCGGGATTTCGAGTTCGTTAGGTGACTCCCACGGGATCCTTCAAGGGAAAGTTGACTAGGGATATGATTTTTGATCATATATCAACAACATTGGCTACGATCTGTAACGCGGGAATGAGGATCCAAATTTTTACCTCTATATTTCAACATTTCTTTTAGATCGTGTTTCACAAAATAAAAACAAAAAGAAATTACTTCTCCAGAACTAAGAACATTATTTAAATATTCAAGAAATTGATCATCTTTTATATCATTATCAGTAAACATAAATACAATGCCTTGACCAAGACGAGCTGCACGTCGATATATATTTCGTAAATCATCCAAAAAATTATTTAATGTATATGTTCTTTAATAGATATTATTAAGAATTAATATGAAATAATATTATTCGATTACCTTGAGACACTTATTTGAAAATATTTATAACCTAGAGAAACAAAAAACATTATTTCGAATATAAAATCTAAATAAATACATTCATTAACCTGCAATATAAGCTGCTAATTTCGTTAATGATTGTTTTCCACTACCACCAACACCAACCTAAACCAAAGAACGAATATTTTTCTTTTCCGGTTTTCTTATCATATACAAAAATAAAAATAAATCTAACCAATAATAAATGTCCTTTTGGCATATTAATTACACGTGAAATCTTAAAAAATAAATTATAAAATTTATTTCATTAAAAAAATTCTCAAAAATTCGTACACGTAATAGATGTATCATAGCATCTTTGAAAAATACTAAATCCATATTACTACCACGAATTTCTTCATTCATTTTAGTCATACTAGCTATTAGTTTTGTTTCTAAGGTATCCCATGATGAAATTGGTTCATAAACTTTTGGTAATAAATCAGCGAGATCAATATCATCACCCATTTCATCAGTTACTTCAAGTTCTTCACGAAGAAAACTATGAAACAAAACAAAAATCGAAAATATTAAATTAATTATAAAAAAAAGTCATTGTTCTAAACAATGCTTGAAGATTTTAGAATAACTGAAACGATGAATTTGATTCTTTTTTGCCTGATATTTCTACTACAAACAAAACTCGGTAAGCTCTGATCGTAAACATCAACCCGAGACCGATCAACCGTGATGCACCGAATTTAGAAAAAAAAAAAACCACTATTTTTTTCTTTTGACCTCAAAAAAGAATTTTTTTTGACACTTATGATTCGCCATTAGTTTAAAATTTTGATATTCATGCTTTTATTAATAAATAAAGTTTTACATGTCTTTTCAGTATTACAGTTAGGAGATTCTAATCTGCTGTGATTCTGAGGTACAGATCGTGACAATGATCTTATTATAATCAAATTATAATAGACTTCCATAGGCTCTAATAAATCTAGAAATTCATTATAATACGATATTAAATAAAATATATTCTTGAAAAAACGTAAAAATTAATTACTTAGCAAAATAAACTTCTAAATCTTCTTGTATTGAAATATTATAAATATCACCAAAATTTTGTTTAGCAATTCTATATTGTTCTTTTCTAAACCATTCTTTTTCTGTATTTAAAACTAATCGATCAGCTAATACTCTTGTACATTCATGTTTCCATAATTGAAGATATTGTTCAATATCATTTTGACATTGTTCAGAATCAATTTGTAATATACCTTCCCATATACGTGATAAATCTCTTAAATTAAATATATAATGAAATTTAGCTGGTGTTGGTAAAAATTTTCCTTTAACTAATTGCCATAGAATACGTGTTGATGAAATAGATTTTTGAACAATTTGTATAATATCATTAGAAAAATTTCTTTCTAAACAAAAATATTTTCCTATTGAACCAAATATATGATCAACAGCATTATTTGATGGTAATGTACAATTTAAAATAAAAAAATGACGTTTTAATCTTTCAGATATATCATTACGACCACCACCGGGATGACACATAGCAGCAAGAAATTGTAAATCAATTATATTAAGAAAATCACCCGGTTTAATTAATGAATAAAAACCTTTTTGTTCAATAAGTTGTCGAAGAATTTCATTTGCTTCTTGATCACCCCAAGAATTTATCATTGGCATATTAATATCATCAATAAATATTGTCATTTTACGTCCATATGATGGACCAAATGTATTTGCAACACGTTTATCAACAAAATTTTCTATTGTTTTTTGTATAAAACTACTTGTTGTTATTGATGAAAAATTTATTATACGTGTTAAATGCTGTTCAGTATCATAATGTTTTAAATAACTTGTAATTATAACAGTTTTAGCTGTACCAGGTTCACCAATTAATAATACAGCTTTTTCTTGTTTAGAAAGTATATTAATAAGATATGATATACGAACATTATCAATATTAGGAACAAGAATTGATGCAAAATCAATTTTTTCATCTTTAGGATATTCCCATGGTTCAACACGAGTCGACCAATGTTCTAATAGAAGATACAAACAAAATCATTCTTGATCGATGTGATTTCACAAAATTACAACATGTGTATCTTGAGTTTCAGAAAGCTAAAGAGTATATTCTACAGACAACTCTTGAGGGAACTTATTTAGAAAAATAATTCTTGTAAAGAATCAAAGTCAAATGAAAGATGGATATGCTTTGTTTTACTTGAAACGATTCATATATTATCTATCATGATTGGAAGTGACAATACATGATATATCATTTAAACTTACCCCATCGGCCATTATCATCAACTAAATAATCAAAGATTGAATCATTTTGTGACATATTCTTCGGAATATCAATATCATTTTGACTAATAAAATATTGTTCAATTTTCATTCGATCATTTAATTCTAATAGTGAACCCATACTATAAAAAAAATTAAAATAAGAACCTTTCACTCCTCCGTTGAGTCATGTTTGACTCATTTGTAGTGAGCAACATGAAAAATGGTTTTTCTAGAGTTATTTTTTGTGTTCGATATGAACTCATACAATAACACGATCTTCATAAAAAAAAATTTATTAGAACTTATAATCAGTCAAAAATTATTCTACGACCATTTTTGAATAACTGTTTATCGATGAAAGATAGAATCCTACAGCTTATGTTATGACTTTCTTTCTACATGAGGCTTTAGTAATAGAAATAAGTGATTTTAAATTACGAACAGTATCAATGATTCTATACTACAATGTTTTATCCAGATTTTCACTTCCGAAGAGGAGACTTAAAACTTCGGGAGGACAAATATCTATTTTCAGGTGTACAGTAGAGCCAGTCGGGTCTAAAATTTCTCGACCCAGATCTGTACTCGATTCGTACTCATAATATTCTCAATAAAATTTTGTAAACCGTCTTGATAGTCGTTCAGAAGACACGAGATACTTTTTGAGTATCAACTGTCGAATCAGAGCCAGGCTCAGAACTGAGCGAGTCATAGTTCGAACAGACGGTCTCTGGAATACAGACATATAATACGTGGTACAGTAATCACAAACTTCAGGAGGCCGGTTTTTAAAGAAGGACTGCTCTCTCGATTCTCTCGCTGGATAAAACAGTGCCATATTATTAAAAAAAACAATGAAGATTATCAATCCTGGCACGACCCAGAAAATGAAAGATCTAATTCCATTCCAAAATTAACTGCCTTTGCAGGTGTCTAACCATATATCGTCCCCCGACACGAAACACATTTTTCAAAGATCCATGGTAAGTAGATTTTCAGCTTTATACAGAAAAAATAAAATAAAAAAGTAACGGCGAAAAGTTGTAAAAAAAATCAATTTTATGTCATTTAGGACGAATGGATCATTTTTGACTTATTCTGCATATTCACAAGACTAATTCTACTAGATGGGTGCCAGAGAGTAAAAGGACTAATCTATTCCAAAAAATCTTTATTGAATTCTTATACCTCCACATAAGTGAAAATATGGTCAATCGTTCTAAAAATGCTTTCGTATATTCGATTTCTTTATTCAATAATCCATCAAGTAAATCAATAATCTATAAATAGTAAATAATTAAAATCTCAATATATATATATATGTAAAGAAAAGACAAACTTGTTTGATATAATTACATTCATAAACTTTCATTTTTGGTAAACATTTTGTAATTAATAATTTAAATAGTTCATCAAAATGTTTTTCAAGTATTTCATATATATGAATTGCAATTGTTTTTATTTGTTTATTCATCCATGCTTGAAATATAGGTCTCCAAGGAAGAATAGTTGATGACATAAATATCATTCCACAACGTGATACAGTTGCTGGTGATGCATTATCAATATTATGTACTTCAAATATAAGTTTAACATTAGATGCCATTGGTATACGATCACCATTTGCTAATGTTAATAATTTATTATCATCTAATACAGAATTAAGATTTTCTATCCATATAGCATCAACAGGACCATCAAGAATAATCCACCAAGCTTCATCTATATACATAATAGAAGAATTTCCGTTAACATATAAAGAAAAAGAAATGTACGAATTCCTGATTTCGTTGATACTTCATAAGCTTTTAAAGTACGACGCCAAAGTGTAGAAAATATACCATCTGTCCAATCATTTGTTGCAACATCAAGAATACCAAACATTTGTGATGCTGTAATCGATTTCGGATTCATTCGATAATCACGCTAGTAAGATACATTCGAATTTTACTTTTAAAATACAACAAGATGCATGTGTTCACTAAGAGCATACTAAGATTAATAAAAATATCGACACCAGCGGTGAGATAGCTTAGGTTTTATAGGGCATGTTGTACTAAATTTATTGATTTAAGCCGCAGATCTGTAACTGTCGCGGAAAAAAGGTTATCAAAGTTTTGCTCGTCTAGAAAATATTAATGGAATTTTGCATTTTTTCCAGCTATTTTGACTCTCGCCTATTGTCTCATTCCGCAATGGGTACGAATGATTTTTATTGAAAGAACATTGACACTAATGTATGTACAAAAGAAAAAATTTACTACTTTCGCTGAGGTTCTAACCACGGTTTTTACTGAGTAAAACGGCATGTTATCTTGCCGTTAGTGTCGATACTTTTATTAATTGTAGTATGTCGCTGATTGATGTAGCAAAAATATAATCTTACCGTATGTGTGCCTAAAATTGTCAATGCTCCTAATAACAAAATAAAAATTCATTTTGTTAAAATAAATTTTTTTTCCTATATACCCATTAGAATTTGACAACATCTTGTTTTTCCAGCTCCTGATGGTCCAAGAACCATAATTCCATGTCGAACACATTGTGTTTCATATAATTGAATAATTTTCAAATTCCATTCAGTATAATTAATTAAACCATCTTCATCAACTTTTTTCTGAATAGCTTTTTGTAAATCATCATATTTTTCTTTATCTAATTTAATACCAGGAAAAAGATCTTCTAATAAAGATAAAAATAATGGTTCATCTTCATCAATCTAAAAATTTATATTTAATATATTTATTTAAATTTAATTTTTTTAATGTTTTTTACTAATTTTGATAGATTCATATCACGTAATACACGCATTACAATTGTTTCTTCAGGATCTTTTGATCGAGTACGTTTTACTGTTCCAAGTGTTCGAAGAACAGCTGTTATATTTCGTAAACCATAATCATAATGAACCTTATTTTATAGAAATAAAATTGATAAAAAATTCTTCTTCTACATAATTAATATCTAATCTTACTTGTTTACTCAATTGATCTTCACAACATTTATAAAGTGTAAAAAATTTTTGTGCAAGATTTGTATTATCTAAAAATCCACCACTAGCTAATTTAACTCGCATTATTATTTGTCGATCAGGTACCATCATAGCTTTAAAAGAAAAGCAGAATGCTAAGAAGACAAAAAAAAAAGATGTTTATTTACCAATACTACGAAAATTAATTTTTAAATTTTCTGGTAATTCTTGTCGTCCAGCATAACCAGGATTCATAGTTATTATTATAGCAAATGTATCATTTAAAATAATTTTATCACCATCAGTAAAAAGAAATTCTTTACGTCTTTCACGTTTTGCTTGTAATAAACATTGAATTTGTTGTGCTGCGACAGATAGAACAGGTAAATTTATTCGATTAAATCTAATTTATTTATAATAGATGATTATAGAATATTATAGATAAAAAAAAAAAACAAGATTTTCTTACTCATCAAAACATCCCCAACAACCACTTATTGCTAAACCTTTGAATGTTTTACCAAGGCCACGATAATCAAATTGATCAGAACAATTTTGTACTATACAATATTTTCCTAATGTTCGAGCCATATCTTTTGTTGTTTCTGTTTTGCCTGTTCCAGCTAAAATAATAACCATGAAACTGACTTTTTTTTCATGTGTTTCAGAAACTTTACTATTCTTGACAATATATCACGAAATACATATTAAAAATTATATACATGTCTAATTACTTTTCACAGGATATCATGGACATACTTAAAAGTCTTCGTATTAAGACTAATCAACCTTTTTTTTCGTAAGATATAAAGCTTGATATACTGATTTTTCCGCAACAATGAGAAATGGAGAACTGAATTCTATTACTAATTGAGGTAACATGTATATGTTTCTATTAGAACACTTCATTTCAGAATGCTTCACCATTCAAGAACAATCAACTCATATGTTTCTATAATTTCTACAAATGAGTCTTTCCTGAGAAAGCTGTTAACGTTATTTCTGCAAGATTAAACTGTGAAACACGATGTAACTGACTATTGCTAAACACACGAAGATTGTTTTCTTCACCCTTCTTTTTACTAAATGTTCCAGAAACGTAATAAGGAAGTAATTCATATATTGTAACAACCCGTTATTGATATACGTATTGTTATATTAAATTCTAGGCATGTAAATATAGCCTAGAAAACTAGTTCAATTAGTTTGTCATATAATCAAGAAGACTGTTTTCTCGAGCTGACAAAACCAATATAGAATGCTTTGTTATTACCTGGTCCAGCAGGACTTGCTCCATATGACATAGCTAAAAATAAAAGTATTGAAATACAATTCAAAACGACATTTTAATCCTGTACTATATATATATACCTAATGCTTGTGCAATAGAGATATAACATCTAAAAGAATGATAATCATTTTATTTTTAAACATTTACTTTTATGTTATCTATTTTATTACCGATCAGTAAGTGGTGTAATAACAAGTCTTTCAGGACATCCTAATGCTTCATTATCATATATAAAAGTGACATCAGTAATTTTTACAAGAAGTAAATCTTCATCTTCACGAAAATAAAATCTACATTGTTTAGCCCAATCAAAATCTAAATCAGATCGTATTCCTGTTGTATAAAGTTCTTGAAAAATATCACGTTGATGAAGATGAATAGTAATTAATGTTTCATATTTTAATCTTTGATATTTTGTTAGATTAACTTTAGAAACGAAAAGACAAAATGAAGTTCTATTTCAATCAAGAATAAAATTAAAAAAAAAGTTTATACAAGTTGTTTTATCAATAAATTGATTAAGCATATCTAAGAAATATTTATTTGTTTCATTCATTAAATTTTTATTAATTATTGCTTCTTGTAATGTTTTTTCACTTCGTTTTGTCCAAATAATTTGAACAATTAAAAGACCTAATTGAGCTATTTCTTGTTCAATAAATTTATATAAATCAAAATCTTCATAAGTCATTTTTTCTATACTATGTCGAATATATTGATGCATAGTTTTTTTATGTGTACGTATAAAATCATTTAACCATTCTTCAACTTGACCTTTTGCTATAACATCTTTATAAAATGGAATTTTCTCATCTAATTAATAGAAACAAAAACATGTGATATTTATGATTAACGAATTTAGAAAATAATACCATCTCTTGTTGTCATAGATAAAATACGATCAATTTCTTTGGTATGAAATTCAACAAATTTAACCTAAATTAATATAAAGAAAGATAATTATATTGAATAATCAATCTTCTTACAGCTTCAGTAAATGAACTAAGATATGGTTGTATTTTTGTTGGATCTGATGCTTGACCAAGAATTTCAAGCATAACTGGATCGGATAAGAAATAAAATCGAGGAAAAACACCACGTTTTGTTTCTAAATAACCAGCAAGACTTTTTTGGCAAAGTTCTAATTGTTCAAGCATATTATTTAATAACGGAAATAATGTTTCATCTGATATACAACATGATAATACATTTGAATTTTCCTATCAAAAATAAAATTAAATAATTGATTTAGTATAATAATTAAATATGAATTAGGTTTCAAAACAAAAAGTATTTATATATATATCAAGATAATTTAATTTCCTTAGAAGTTTACTTTAGCTTTTGACATCAATTTAATCCATGTTTTGTCTACATTAGCAAAACGACGTGCTTCTTGTGGCATCTGTTTACCAATATCACCTCCAACAAATACCGCTTCTATATATAAAAAAAAATAAAACAAGTATTTTATGATAATGTACACCTCTTGATGATTTCAATCAATAGGGTAAAAGATTTTCAAAACTTTATCGTAAAAAGACGAGCTATCATCTAGGCACGATGCAATGAATAGGTTAAAGGTAATTTATTTGTAACACACAGATAATTAGTATCAGCCTGTCTATCAGACATATCCATGGCGTTGCGACAGCAGTACTTGAACAGACAAGGATTGTTAGAAACACTGAAAAATCGAACCTTTTGAGTGTTTACATCCCTTTTCGACAACCCTTATCAGCGTGGGTGCGAAAAACTTATTAATAATACCAAACCCAGCGAATGGATAAACCTCATAGACTACTAACAACAATACAATCACAGCACTGAAATTTAAAGCATTGTATTCGCTACCATCGCAGTGTGTTTTAAAGCTTGCAGTAAGCAATATCCAATTGTTAGATAACGTTTATTGCAAGTTGTGGATAGATCCATCCGTACAATAGGTACTGTGTTATAAATATCCCCAGGGCGATACCTAATATTTTTGAAGATTAATGACAATTTTTAAGCTAAGTAAAAAAAATTGCCACTATAAATACAATTGAAATTTAGGATGGTATATATCATTCACATTCATGTGAGTAAATGTTCTAGAACCATATCATTTAGGCTTTCCGATTTTTGCTTTACCTAAATAAATCCATAAATTTTGTACTTGCATCCATTTTGTTAACATTTCAGCACAAATAGCTAAATCAGCAATATATTTTTGTATTTGATTTTTAAAAAATATATTATAACGATTTGATGCTAATGCAGCTAAAATTAAATTTGAATCATCAATAGCTGAAAGTATTTCTGATGTTTCTTGTCCACGTAATAAAAGTTCACCACGATTTTTAAATGATGTAAATTTAAATTCTCTTTGACGCCATTCAAGTTCAATTGAAAATAATTTTGATTCAATATCACGTTCTTTTTGTGCTGTTATTGATATATCTTCAATATCTTCACGATATTTTATTAATGGAACATTCATAACATGTTTCAATGAAAATATAGATGAATCATTATGTGGTATATGAATTTTAGCTAATTTCTCTATTCGTTCCCAATGACGAGACTATTAAAAAAGAATATATATTTATATATATATATTTGTTGTTGCGTTTCTTTTAAATTAATCAATTGATTTAATTACCTGCATAGCTGGATTAATTAATAATTCAAGTAGTGGTAAACATTCATTAAAATTATCTAATTTTTTCTTTAATTCACTATAAGCTGGCCATGTTTTTAAGCCTTTTGGTAATTTTTTCATTTTATCTAAAAATCATCATCATACATTAATTACTAGACTACTAGTTTGAAGTATAAGACTAATGTATTTTTGATTTTTTTCTGTGATACCTAGTATTTAATTCAAATTCAAATATTAGTGTGAATAGATAATGAAATTTCATAGATCGGCTATGACGAGACGGCGGTTTCTCAACAGTCAAATACGATAGTTTTCAAAGCCCAGATGATTGTGTAAAAACAGATTTTTAAGAGCACCATCTCAAAGAGCACAAAATCCTGAATAAAATGAAGAGTCATCGCTTTTCCTACGACCTTTCCTCTAAAAGGTATGCGCTTTTTAACGATGCTATAATAGTTATCGTGTTTTTTTTTTGATTTTTTTTGTGATGTTTATAACTTTTTAAGAGAAGATCGTAGGGAATTCTGGGTCTTGAAAACTACCGTGTTTGGTTTTTACAGAAAGCTTTCTCTCATAGACCATCTATGAAATGCATTTAATCGAGAACTTTATTGACTATTCTAAGTAATATTTGAACTTGAGTTACATTCTCAATATCATAAAAAAAGTAAAAAGTACGTTAATCTTATATTTTTGACCAGTAATGTATTTACTTTGAAATTCTTGTATTTCATTTGTAATTTGATCAATATGAAAATCTTTCCAATTTGTTTCATAATACATTTCCATTGTTTTTATAACATCATTATAAAGACCATAAAGACGTTTAAGATAATTGAGTTGTTTTTTAATTGTTTGTAAATGAATATATTCAGTTTTATCTAAACCAAATAATTCTTCACCAGCTACAAATGTTTCATAACGTTTCCATAAATCATTAAAACGTGATTCAAAATGTGTTAAACGATCACTTGCTTCTTGAGCTGGTAAACCTTCAATCATTGGACCATTATTATCATAATCTTCAACAAAATCTGTGACATCATTTTGAAATTGTTTCGTGTCAATTAGAAAACGATCGAGAAATGATTGTTGAGTTTTAACAAGATCATGTGTAACATGTTTAGCTCGTTTAAGAAGACGTTCATGAGTACTACGAAGCATTTCAATAGCCATTTGTTCTTCTTGAGGAATATCAATTGAATAACGTTTGAATAAATTGTAAACTTCCTTTATTTAAAAAGATAATTCAAAAATAAATGATATGTTTCACTAAATCACATAAGCAATTGACTTTCTTTGTATTCTTTAAGTTTTCTCTATAAACTTTGATACGATGGATATTGCATCAGTCTACTTGTCTATCAGAGACCCGCAAGACAATGTCACATTTTTCGCCAACCTATGGTGTAGAACGTCTTGAAAAACACTGAAGAAACGAATTAGTCCTAACAAAATACATTCACAAAGCAAAATACGAAAGAAACATGTAAGACCCCCACGCGTAAGCAATGGTGCGAGATTGTTTCGTAGATCTCTGTTGTCTTTTATATACTGATTATGCAGTGTTGTCTGTATGTATGTACAGTAGCGGACAGAAGTTTCCGCCATAGCCGATCTCGGTCACGGTATGTGCTGAAGATCTGAAAATTTGAGTACACGCATTTCACGAAAAATGTAGGTCATTGACATTGCAGTGCCATCGTTGTTTAATTACAAACGATGTTATGATAGGTGGCACCTGAATTTGTTATTAGTCTCGTAACCCTGGAAAGAAAGAGCATTCTGCATCAACTAACTTCGCACTATGTAATACTATGACTCAGCTATCTACACTACTAATATTATTGAAGTTCATCAATCCTTTTAAAAACTAAGCACATTTTACTACGATTATTATTGTGACGAAAACCATCTATTGTCCTGTGGAGGTCAATCACTCAGTAATATTTCAACGGCACTAAAGAAAAATGGAACATAGACGATAATCTTGTTCATTTCAAAGATCTAGAAACATTAACATTCCAGCAAATGAATTTATATTCTAAATAAAAAAAAACACCATAGACCGGAGTTCAGCTACTTGTAAAAATATTAAGAATTAGTCATACTTTTAGTAAGAAACAGCGCAAAATTTTGTTGACAGTCTGTTTTAAGTTATTTTTCTCTATATTGGGATGCTTCAATCTTTTGAAATACGTTTTTTTTGTCTCAAAGCAAAGGTATGTGATGATAGATTTTCATTTTAATTGATCGATCTATAGATGTTATTCACTAGGTATGTTGTCCATAAATCAATGCTATCATAATAATTTAAATATCTTACTTCTAACGGTTCAATAGTATGATCGACAAAAACAAAATTTTCTTTTAATGTATCAAGTGCATTAATAACAAATCGTACATCATCAAGATCTCTTAATTGTCGATTTAAACGTGGTTCAGTTTTTTTAAAAAAATCATTAATACTCATAAATTTCATTCGATAATGTATTCGAATATATTTAGCAAATATTAATTCAAGTTGTCGAATTTCATCAAATAAATTTGATTTTAATTTATTTGTTAAATAACAAAATGGATCAATATCTTTTGATTCAGGTATTCGTTTAATTAAATCTCTTGTGTCATCAAAATCAGCAAATATTGATCGAACAGCAGCATAACCAGGATTAGCTAAAATGAATTTTTTTGCTTGATTTATCTTATTCATTTCCCATAGATCACGAAATTCATAATATTCTTCTAATTCTTTTTCAAATCTTTTTTTTTTTATATCGAAATGAATTAAATAGATTGATTTTACATAAAATAAAAATCTTACCGAACATGATTTTCTACAAAAAAAGTTCCAATATTTTGATATAATTTAGTTAATTCTTTATTATTTGCTATTGTATTATAATATGTTTCGGCTAGAAATAAGCAAAATTATCACATAAAATACCAATCATGTTAATAATGACTTGTTCGAATTCAAAAAAGTTTTGCTACTACATCTTAGAAGGGTGTGGGTGTGTGTGGGTGTCGATGAGAGGCCTGTCTACATCCACATCCACACCCTACGGATGTTAGTTAACCTTTTTTTTTGTAGTTAAGTGTGCTCGAACTTAGGCTTAAGATGAATCTAAATCAGAAATGTAACGAATAAGTATTAAAATGAGATAATAAAAAGACTAGCAACGAACCACTTCAGCTACTCCACTCTGATTTCAATGAATTTTTGCCTATAGATAACTACATAATGTTCTAATAAAAATCCTAAAAGGATTTTGGTTTCTATGAATATTTGGCTAAGCTATCGAATTTTTAATGTACCTATTTTGCTAGAGGCTCTAGGTTTTGGGGTAACTCGTCTGTTCGAATTTTGATCTGAAATTAGAAAACGAATTTATGTAAGATTTGTTCTTCGAATGTAACAATATTCTTGGCTACAGTTTATGCTGTTTTATATTTCAAAGTCAATCAACATTTCTTTTACCTTGTTCAATATGTCGTAAATTTTCTTTTCCACTATCTGACATTTTATCTATTTCTAAAGTTCCATCTGTTGGTAATAAATCCGAAAAATCATGCATTGGATAATTATGTATAAGTTTACTATCAATATGTCGTACTTCGCCCCATTTTCGTACACCATGAAAAATATTTAAAACATAATTAACTAATTGATGCATTAATTGTTGAATTTCATCAATACTTGGATTTAATATAATAATAGAAGAATGTAATTCAACATTAGTTAATATTAATGGATGTATGACATTATCTTTTCTATCAATATTTGCATCGATTGTATCAAAAGAATATAATCGAAGTTTTTTTAATCGAGATTTCATTTGAATTCTAAATAGAAGAATTTTTTTTTTCNAAAAATATTAATATTTCTACATCAATATCAGAAAGAATATGATTTAATTGATTATAAAATAAATCAAATTGTTTATCATTTAAATCGAATAAATTAAAATTAAATGTATAAAATTCTGTTTGAATTTTATTATAAATATAAATTATTTGTTCAAGACCATCCATTCGAGATTTTGATATAAGAGAATAGATTTCAAATGATTCAATTATTTCACGAAACTAATAAGAGAAAATTATAATCATATTTGATTTCATCTATAGAAAAAAAAAAAAAAACTAAAAACTTTACACTAGTCAAACGTTGATTAAGAAAATCAAGTTGACCAAGTAAATGATGTTCTGAAAGATGATCATTAGTTTTGTTTAAATAATGATTTTCAATTTTTTGTTTTATTTTTATAAATATTTCACGATATGTTGCATATAAATTATGAATATAATCAATACGTTTTAATAATTCTTTTCTATTAAGTGTTCGAATATCAATTGTATGATTATTAGTTAAATAATTTTTACAACTAATTACCATTTGATTGTTTATCTAAAAGTTAAATAATGAAATAAAATTAAAATTTTTTTTTTGAAAAACTTACAGAAACAAGTAGACCAGCAATTTTTTCTGGTTTGGAATAAAATTCTGAACATGAATTAATGAGAACTATAGTATTGAGAAGAGTATTAAGATTTTCTTGAATTTCACACTAAAATAAATAGAAGATTAAAACTGTTATCATTCAATGAAAATCTATGAAAACTTAACAATGAGATTATTTTTAGAATTTTTTCATACTTGGAATCGGATTCATCCGGTTGAGCTCTTAAAACTGACCGATTTTCACCATTTTTTTTTAATTGATCTTTTTGAGATACGGTTGATGTCAAAATCTTAGGTCTAAATATGAGTTAATATTTTTTGTCATCATATAATGAGAGCTTCGAATCGTGCTGAATGAATCTAATATGCTCACGAAAAGTTAGTCAGATATTAGAAGTTAATTTTGATCTAAACTAAAGATTTTTAACTTGAAATTTTGAGCATACTTTTTTGGACTACTTTTAATCTACTCGTGAAAAATCTCAATAGCTAGTTTTTTTGTGAATTAAGATGCAGTTCAACTGTGTTAAATAATTACTTCAAATAAGAATAGATCAAGCATATCAATCGTAAAGAAATCATGTCATTATTGAAAAAAGCCAGTCAAAGCATAGTATAGATGATGTTTAATTTTATTTATTCGCTGGAGATAGTAAAAGACCTAATGAAATCAATTGACAAAAGATTTTGCAACATGTGTTTTCTATAATTAAGGTGAAATTTCAAAGAGTATTTTATTGTCATGAAGCTAGACAGATAACTGACGACTCTATAATTCCGTATGCGAAATGATAACAAAAATTTTGTGTGGTTGATGTGTTCTAAATAATCTTTAGCTTCGTTTATAAGAATTCATCATTTATAGAACAAGTTGAGTCAAAAAGAAAATCATTATTTGTTACAGCATGCATCAAAAGATTCATCCAATTGTTAATTTAAAATCTTGTTCTACCAAATAAAGAAACTACGAATCTTATCAAATTTATGATCGTAGAAAAATTAAAAAAGTCTCTATCGGTTTCTTTATAATACTTTTACTTTTAAACTAGATCTTTGTAAGCACACCCTCATAGGTATCGTTTGACGTCCTCAGAAAAAATTGCAGATAGACAATTGAATCAGATGCTCTGTTGAATGAACTCAGTACCGCCTTTTAAAATCATTGTTACATGTCTATAAAACTCAAAATAAAATCCAGTCGTTCATTATGTTATATTCGTTCTATAAAATAAATTTACCGGATCATTACGATAAAGTGGTCCAATATGTTTAGTAACAATCATTAAAAATTTATAATGATCACGTGCTTCATTAATACATTGTGTTAATTTTTTATCAATTTCTCTCCATTCCTTAAAATAAAATTTTATTAATACAAATCTTATATAATTATTTTCTAATACAAACAATTGAACGTGGACTTGCAGCAATATTAAGTAAATAAATAACAGCTCGATTAGAAGGTAATCGAAGTTGATTCACAAGATGATTTAATTGTATAACTTGTTTTTTCCAATATTTTACTTCATTTAATGGACCAGAATCAGACATTATTTGTCGAACTAATGTACTCTTTCGATAAAACTAAAAATTAATGAATCATTTAAAAGAAAAAAACAAAACATTTTAACACGATAAATATCTGTTACGGACGACATTAAAATTTTAATTTCTCCTATAGGGGAATTTTAAATTGTAATAAAATTCTTATGAATATAAGTAATTTTGCATTTATTGCTGCTAGGGCAACTTAAAACTTCTGTATAGGAGAAATTAAAATTTCAATATCTCCTTTAGAAAGTTTTAAATTGGTTTGGGTTTAAATTTCTCTTGTAATATATACATTATCAATTTCTTTTATCCATTCAATAATTGTTTCTTCAGCTTGTTGAACTAATTCTGTATCTTGAACAAAACGTAACAGTGAATTTGGATTAATAATCTCTTGTGTATCATGTCTTAGACGTATAGGTACTTTTTGTAATTGAATACAATCAATAAATGATTTATGTATTGTTCGAAAAAAATTTGCATTTTGTTCAATTTGATATATTAAATTTAATTTAATTTGATCAGTTTTTTCATTGAATAAATTTAATTTATTCCATTCATCAGCTTTTTTAATTGATGGTAAATAACTAAGTAAAATTGTTTCTAGATTTATCATTAGATCAAGATTTTGTTGATCAAAATTCATAGAAAAAATAACTAATTCCTATAGAATATAATAAAATATAAAATAGTCTTTTTTCTTTGTTAAGACATACATTTTTAAAATTTTTATCTGTTAATTTTATTGTATTTGGTTTTATAAAAATCACACCACCGTCTTCAAATGGTTTGTCTATTCCAATCTAAGATTAGTTTTTATTTTTATTAAGAAGAATATTGATTAATATTAATGACATACTCCAATACAAGATTCTTCACTTTTTACTGATTGATTCAACTGTGGTAGAACTATACAAAGAGATGTTTATTTTTTAATATTGTGCATGGAAGATTTTGAAGAATATTTACTTATGCTTGATCGTTTACTAAAGCGAAATCTTTCTTGAGGATCACAAAAGAATATAGGTAAAATATGAGTATTTTCATCATTAAAAAACTGTTCAATATAATTCCACTGAAATAAATAATGGAAATATTATTCTCAACAATAAATATATTCTTTGCATACATTTTGTGTTTCTTGACAATATTCTACAATTAGACTTGATTGAAAATTAGAGAAAAATGCTAAAATATCGAAGAGAAATGTATGAATATTAGTAATTGTTTCATTTGTAAAGTTTTCTCTCATTAATATATCTTCATCTTGATTTTCTTTCTCAATTCTTGGTTCATGTATTTCTTCAGCAATAGCTGATTCAATAGTTGCTGGTTGTTGTTCTTCATTAATTAAATCGTCGACAATATTATTAATTTCTGTTTCTGGTTCTTGAACATTTTCAGTATCAGCCATTGACAATTAAAAATTATCATTTATTCAAAAGCGCTCTTTTTTTTTATTATGAAATTTCGTCGTAAAATTATGTATGAAGATTAAAAATTTGGTCATGTGAAATAAGTGCTAGTAGAGTTTGTTAGTTCATTGTATACTTATATCATACGTATGTATCATACGTATGTATAGCACAGAAAATGATCAATATTTGAATGAAGTATTTGCCAAGCACTAGCTTCGTCTTTAGTCTCAATTAAGCAATCGACTCATAGATTCGTCTAATAGAATAAAGATTACGTCTGACAGTTGAACAAACTACTTACGTTAGTTAATGCATGGTAGCCATCTTTTGAACGCCCATTAAACAAGTTAACGCTAATCTCAATAATTCATCAACCTCTTTCAGTTCTATCTTATTCGCTTGTAAAATGAAAAGAAACAACAAATTTATTGAAGAAAAAATGAATTCAATCTGATGAAAAGCTTCTAAAATGAGACTTGTTTTTTTTTTCACGAAAAATAAATTTTCAACATCTTCGAAGATATTTCACTTCTAACAAAAAATTATTCTTCAAAACAATTATGTACGTACAATTAAGTATATATTTACGTAGATAGACATATTATAGATTTGTAAGACATTCAGAAACAATTTCGAAGCACTGATGAAATTTATCATCAGTACTTGTATAGTTATTATATCATATATCAAAATAGTTTTTAAATAGAAAAATATTCGTTCAGCTTATGTCAGATTCACATAGAAACGAACATGAAAAGGTTGATGAATTATTGAGATTAGCGTTAACTTGTTTAATGGGCGTTCAAAAGATGGCTACCATGCATTAACTAACGTAAGTAGTTTGTTCAACTGTCAGACGTAATCTTTATTCTATTNTGAATATCAAGCGATGGTCAGCTTCACTAATCCTAGTTATTTTATATCGTACAAGCGTATGAATCACAAACGAAGTTCTAGTCTTAACCCTATTTGAATGATAACACTTGAACATATATTTTTTTATAACTAATACTGATTATCCATGCATTTAATTGTGTTTTTTATGATAAAATTTCAAAAATTAATAAACATTTCGATGAACTCTGTTAGTAAACCTTTGTGGTAAGTGATGCAACTGTGCCTAACGGTAACGAGATACATTTTTTTTGCGAACTTTTTTCTAAGTTTCTCGATTGATAGCTTTATAACTATCATCGAACGTTAGGAGATACGTCTACGCATTCAGTAGGACTGGCGCATCCTTTATAGTATTGTTGAGTTTCATGAAAATAGCGCATCATTCAAGCGTTAACCATTTGCTCATGGATCGATCAGTTATCTGATTCTAACTTCGGTAAGATTCAAGAGTGAAACACTTATTATACTTAGTATTGTAATAAAATCCTAAAATAATTTTTGTTTCCATTCGTGTTTAATTAAACTATAGAATTTTTCATATGTCTATTTTCTAGAGACCTCAAGTTTTAGGAAAACTCGTCTTTACTTTCAGAGTCTATATTAGAACAATTGAGATTTTTAAAAAACAGCTTTTATAATAAAGGAGTAAACACCTCTGTTGCAGCCAATGCATGTATCAAACGTGAGTTATTAAATTTTTTTACAATGACTTCCTATATAAGACTTAGTCTTCGAGTATTGTAACAGTATTTTTAGCGAAAGTTCATATTGACTTATAATCCAAAGTAAATCAATATTTTTTTTACATTGTTCAATATGTCTTAAATTTTCGTCTGTATTATCAGATATTTTATCTATTTCTAAATTTCCATCTATTGGTAATAAATCCGAAAAATCATGCATTGGATAAGTATGTATAAGTTTACTATCAATATGTCGTACTTCATCCCATTTTCGTACACCATGAAATATATTTAAAACATAATTAACTAATTGATGCATTAATTGTTGAATTTCATCAATACTTGGATTTAATATAATAACAGAAGAATGTAATTCAACATTAGTTAATATTAATGGATGTATGATATTATCTTTTCTATCGATATTTGCATCGACTGTATCAAGAGAATATAATCGAAATTTTTTTAATCGAGATTTTATTTGAATTCTAAATAGAAAAATGTTGCCTTTTTTTAATTTTCTTTTTTGAACTTATAAATAATTTTACAATGTTGGATTAGCTCGATTTTTAATCATTTCAAATGTATTTTTAGCACATAATGTTAATGCTTCAATTAAACGAACTTCAAATGAACTAAGAAATTCATTACCTAAGAAAGATTAGAAAGAAAATAATTTTTATAGAAATAATTAATCTCTAAGATTATTACAAAGTTCATTAAAACGTTCCCATTCATTTGATGGTTGAAGAATAAATTGATTTGGATTTCTTGTTTTTTTTATTGATTTTGATGGATCTTGAACAAACATTTGTATTGCTAATCTTTGCATTGATGAAAGTTGCATTAAATCTAGAAAAAGTACGAAAAAAAAGAAATTTTAATCTTTATCTTGTGTTAATATAAATAAATAACCAATATCTCCAATTTTTTGTTCGAATGGTTTTGACTTATAACCAACTTTATCAAAAAACATTTGTATAACATGTAAAGCAGCTGATTCAATTTGCATTGAAAGTGAATTAAGTTTTTCAGCTTTAAATATAATTTGTTGTCGAATATCATTAACAAATTGTTTAAAATCAATTGAATCATCAGGAAATTCAAGAATTTCAAAACGAGATACTTCATTTATTGGTTCTTCTATACGATGAATTATTAATGAAGATATTTGACTAAGAAAATCCGACATTAATGAAATTTTTTCTTCAGCTGGAAGAAATAATTCATCTAAATTTTTTGATAACCAATTAAGACGATTTAAACCAATTGAAAGAGTATTATCAACCTAAATCAAATGACAAATACTACGATAAAATAGTTCAGTTTTGATTGAATCGTCCATAGAATAGCAGTTGCGAAGCTCTTCTCTCTCTCAAAACTTTCTAAAATTTTAATGGAAGCCTGTTTACTTTCCAAGAGTACTACTTCTTCTTCTTCTAGATTGAACAAAGTATTTGCATTTATGTGCAGAGAATCGAAAAATATACCCTACAGAATATTCAAACTAATAGTCTGCCTTAATATCAGCTCGACTTGAATGAAGATTTTCGATAATATATTGGCTAAGTTATCAATTTTGATTAACCAGCAGAATCTTTACACGACATTAATAATGAAATCCGGAAGAGATAAAGCCCTTAACAGACATCAATGTATTGATCGAAATAAGATCAGATGTAATTTGATCATGCGATAACGGATTAAAAGATAGAATGTTTTGAAATTGAGAAGATAAGGATGAATTAGACTGGCAAAATTTAGTCGTTCAGTTCGGCATACTAGAGGATGGGCTCTTATAAACTGCTTCAGAACTAGTAATCAGAAGTGTGTTTCACAATGACTCCGAAAGTAACAATTGAAGACCCCATCCTGTATTGTCGCCTTCAAACTATGCCTATTCGCAGTCGAAGACTCTTTATTCTGATCACAACAGAATTATCTCGATTGATTTGACACAATGAATTTTAGTTTTTGACCATGAATAATAAGCGTCGACTAGTTCTCATTGTCGGAAAGAGCGAAGCAGAAGCACGTTAACTTATGTCAAAGTCAATTTTTTTTAGCTACGGATACTCTACAATTTAATCCAAACAATAGGACGAAACATTATGTTTATAATAGGATAGTATAATCATTAGAAAAGAACAACAAAAAAGAGTGTTTTTAATAGTACAACGAATTCGTTTGGTTTTTTCTAAATGAAAATCGATCATTATTTTTGAGAAAATAATAATTAGAGGCTTTTTTAGCTATTGATTTCTTACTTGTGTCATCACTTTTTCTACTAATTCATAACTAGTTGGATGTGCTTTAGCCAATAAAACCGAAAAATTTTTGAGTAATTTCTAAAATATTAAAATTAAAATTTTACACATTTGTTCATCTTCTATATTCACATACTTTTAATCTTTCATAATAAAATCGAATTCTATTTCTATCTAATAATAATTTATATCCTAAATCTGGCATTGTAATTGAATATCGTGCTAATAATTCACATTCACGTAAAATAACATCAATAAATGGATCATAATTAATATATAATTGTCGAATAAGATTTTGTCGAATAAGAAGTGGATTACACAATAGATTGACTACATCACCTAATGTATTATACCTAAATATATAAAAATTTTAGAATCAAAAGAAAGAAGAATAAAGAAACAAACAAACCAATGACGATGATATAAAAGTTCATAAAGTGAAAATCCATTTATAATCATAAGAAAATTTTCTGTAATTTTTTTCATAATTGGATGATCGTTTAATTCAATACGTTTAATAAATTCAATATAAGGTATTTGAATACGTTTATACATTCGTCTTGCCCATAGAATACGACCTAAAATAAAATTCTCAGAAAAAAAGAAATTTTTTTTTATCGATAATTTTTTACCAATAATAGGTGGATAATCTCGTTCAATATTTGGTGTATTTCGACATTGATTATAAATTATTTTTACTTTCTACATAAATAAAATAATGTAGAATTCAATAAAATTTTTAATTTATATATTTTTTTGTTGATTACTTCAAGTTCTTCTTTTTCATACCATTGAATAATATCAATTAAGAATTCAATTGGATCAAAAAATTGTATATGTAAATTTTCATAACGTAAAAGTAATTTTAATGCATTATAAGAATAATGTGATGGTGAATGAAGTATACGATGAAGATCTTTATCTAAGATTTGATAAAGTTTTTTCTAGAAAAGACGAAATACAAAAAAAATTCGAAAAAAAAAATAAATTAAATATCAATTTATCTACATCAATATCAGAAAGAGTATGATGTAATTGATTATAAAATAAATCAAATTGTTTATCATTTAGATTGAATAAATTAAATTTAAATGTATAAAATTCTGTTTCAATTTTATTATAAATAGAAGTTATTTGTTCAAGACCATCCATTCGAGATTTTGATAGAAGAGAATAGATTGCAAATGATTCAATTATTTCACGAAACTAAATAAAAGAAAATTAACATTTTCTTGTTGATTTAAAAAGATAAAACTTTACTCTAGTCAAACGTTGACTTAGAAAATCAAGTTGACCAAATAAATGATGTTCGGAAAGATGATCATTCGTTTTATTTAAATAATAATTTTCAATTTTTTGTTTTATTTTTATAAATATTTCATGATAGGTTTGATATAAATTATGAATATAATCAATATGTTTGAATAATTCTTTTCTATCAAGTGTTCGAATATCAATTGTATGATTGTTAGTTAAATAATTTTTACAACTAATTACCATCGGATTATTTATCTGAAAGTAAATAGTAAATTAAAATTAAAATTTTGTTTTTTTGAAAGACTTATAGAAACAAGTAGACCAGCAATTTTTTCTTGTTTGGAATAAAATTCTGAACATGAATTAATGAGAACTATAGTATTGAAAAGACTATTGAGATTTTCTTGAATTTCAAGATAAAATACATAAAATATAAAAACTATTATCATTCAAATTAGTGGAAATTTCTAAATGAATCCATTCCATCATCGTTTCTAGAATATATTTGTAGCAATTTTCTCAATATTTCTAGAATTCATTTGCATCATTCTTAGTGAGTGTGCTGAGTTCAACGTACTCGTATATTAGATTAATTATCGGCAAAATATCTTTCCGTGTTCTCCATTACCAATATGCCACAGGATCTTGATTGGATACTCTACTGAAAATTGTCGCACCGCATGGATACTTAACACGTATCTGTCGAGTTTCTAAACCATTCTATGCAAAGTTTATCAATAAGTTTATTGAGTACTTGGAACCGAACACGTCCGGATGAATTCTTAAAACTGACTAGTTTTCACCAATTTTTTTGTATTGATCTTTTTAGGATCTTAAATCTAAATATGAAGTCAACATTTTCTCATCATACAATGAGAGCCTTGGATCATGCTAAAGGAATTTATTATGCTTACGAAAAATTAACCAAATAGTAACAGTTGATTTTGATCTGAACTAAAAATTTTTAACTCGAAAGTTCAAGCACGCGTTTCTGAGCTATTTTCCCTTTTGTCGAGAGGATTCTGCCTACTACTGGCATTATGCCATTGTAAAAATTAGTTGTTGTTTACTATTAATTCTTGTGAGTTATTAAATAAAACTTTGAAAGAAATGTTTGTTGAATCTTATTGTTAATATCTATAAAATGCAACAGACTAGAACAAAAGTTATTATTTTATAGAAACTTCAAGGATAATTGATCCAATTATAGGTTGTAGGTTGAACATTTAGAAGCATTTTGTAGTCAAATGTTAAAACCTCATAAAGTAACATAAATCCAGTCATTCACTAGGAATAGTAGAAGACAATTTCAATTCATTTGTTTCCATGCTACTGAACTTTGCAGTAGGTTTTTCACTCGCCATCATCTACTATTGGATTAGATTCTAACAAAACCAATGAACAAAAGATTACAACATGTATTTTTGATAATTAATTTGAAATTTCAAAAAGCATTTTATTATAATGAACCTAGGCAGATAACTGATGACTCTATGGTTCCGTATTCGAAATGAAAACAAAATTTTTATGTGTTTCATGATTTTTAAATAGTCTTTCACTTCATTAACTAACTCGTCTAAGTGTCTAGTTCGTTCGGATGAATTTCAAACTTTAACTAAACTTGTTCTACTAATCTATGATACTAACGGGTGTAACATAATGAAGAAAATCTTTCTACAAAGTTTATTTTTTAGAGTAAAATTTACTTCATTGAACTACTAAGAAAGTCATAAAAATGAGAAAATCTATTCAGATTAGAAGTATACTCATTAAAAAATGCAAAGTAGTTGGATGTTTTCCACTGCTCAAGTCAATATTTAAACCATTTTGTTCAAAATTATATTTTTCGTTCGACTTAATAAAAATGTACGAGAAGCGATCGCTCATATAACAAGTTAAGTTACAAAAAAACTTCATTTGTTTTAATATGCATTCAAAGATTCATCCAAATGTTAATTTGAATTTTCGTTCTACTAGATAAAGTTACTAAAAAATCTTATTAAGATCATGATCGTACAAGAAAGCAAAAAATTCTCTATTGAATGAATCTGATATCCCTTTTTAAGACCATTATCACGTATCTGTAAGACTCAAAATGACATCCAAGCATTCATTATATCATATCCGTTCTATAAAATAAATTCACCGAATCATTACGATAAAGTGGTCCAATATGTTTTAGTAACAGTCATTAAAAATTTATAATGATCACGTGCTTCATTAATACATAGTGTTAATTTTTTATCAATTTCTCTCCATTCCTTAAAATTAAATTTTATTAATACTAATCTTATATAATTATTTCTTATACAAACAATTGAATGTGAACTTACAGCAATATTAAGTAAATAAATAACAGCTCGATTCGAAGGTAATCGAAGTTGATTTACAAGATGATTTAATTGTGTGACTTGTTTTCTCCAATATTTTATTTCATTTAATGGACCTGAATCAGACATTATTTGTCGAACTAATGTACTCTTTCGATAAAACTAAAAATAAAAAATAAAAATCATTCAAAAGAAAAAAAGAATATTTTAATAATATAGATAATATGTTATAGGGAAACGAAAATTGTAATTTCTTCTATAAGAGAATTTTAAGTTATTCTAGCAGCAATCAATACAATCATTAGTTTTATTAGCATGAAACTGCATCTATACACTATGTCATTTTGAAAAGTAAGTTAATAGTTTTCATTGTAATAAAACCTTTGTGGATCAAAGTAATGATATATTTATTGCTGTTAAGGCAACTTAAGATTTTCCTAGAAGAGACATTAATATTTCAATATCCCGTTCGGAAAGTTTTGAATTTCTTTTGTAACATGTACATTATCAATTTCTTTTATCCATTCAATAATTGTTTCTTCAGTTTGTTGAACTAATTTTGTATCTTGAACAAAACGTAGAAGTGAATTTGGATTAATAATTTCTTGTGTATCATGTCTTAAACGTATAGATACTTTTTGTAATTGAATACAATCAATAAATGATTTATGTATTGTTCGAAAAAAAAATTGCATTTTTTTCAATTTGATATATTAAATTTAATTTAATTTGATCAGTTTTTGTATTGAATAAATATAATTTATTCCATTCATCAGCTTTTTTTATTGACGGTAAATAACTAAATAAAATTGTTTCTAGATTTATCATTAGATCAAGATTTTATTGATCAAAATTCATAGAAAAAATAACGAATTCCTATAGAATACAATGAACTACGAAATTATCTTATGTTTTTTTTATTTAGCTATACATTTTTAAAATTTTCTATCTGTTAATTTTATTGTATTTGGTTTTATAAAAATTATACCACCATCTTCAAATGATTTATCTATTCCGATCTAAAATAAGATTTTATTTTTGTTAAGAAGAATATTGATCAATATGAATAACATACTCCAATATAAGATTCATCAGTTTTTATTGATTGATTTAACTGTGGTAGAACTATACAAATAAGTAGGCTTTTTTTTTTGTTGCACATGAAAGATTTTGAAAGATATTTACTTATACTTGATCGTTTACTAAAATGAAATCGTTCTTGAGGATCACAAAAGAATATAGATAAAATATGAGTATTTTCATCATTAAAAAACCTTGAATAGAGTTCCACTAGAATAAATCATGAAAATATTATTCTTAAAAACAAACATATTCTTTGCATACATTTTGTGTTTCTTGACAATATTCAACAATTAGACTTGATTGAAAATTAGAAAAAAATACTAAAATATCAAAGAGAAATGTATGAACATTAGTTATTGTTTCATTTGTAAGATTTTCTTTTAATAATATATCTTCATCTTGATTTTCTTTCTCAATTCTTTCTTCATGTATTTCTTCAGCAATATCTGGTTCAACATTATTAATTTTTGTTTCCTGTTCTATAACATTTTCAATATCATCCATTGATTATTGAAAATTATCATTTATACAAAAGCGCTCTTTTTTATTATAATATTATTGAGTAGAATTCTGCATGAGCAATATCAATTTTTGATAGTTTGATATAAGTCTAAGTTGAGTCTATGAAGCAATACTATACTTACTTTATATGTATGTATTAGTACAGGAAGTGATCAAAAGTCGAATGAAATATTTGCCAAGCGTTAAATTAAACTTAAGTCTCAACCAAGCAATCGGCTCATATATATTCATCTAATAGAATAAAGATTGCGTCTGACAGTTGAACAAACTACTCAATTAATGTATCGTAACGATCTTTTGAACATCTATGAAGCAGATCCAAGCTAATCTCAATGGCTCATCAGCCTCCTTCAGTTTCAGTTCAATTATAGTGGCCTATAAAATAACAGCAAGAACGGATGTATTGCAGAAAAATTAAATTTAGTCAGATGAAAATTTCTTAAAATTTTTCAGTTATTCAATATAAATATAGTTGTACAAATCGAGTTTATTCAGATTGATTGGTACTCACCTAGCTCAGATAATTTCCCTGGTATCTCTCGAAAATTTTCGTTAGATCTTAGTCGTGTCATTGAAAATTTCTTTCGCTATATTTGTTGATTTTGAAATTAAGACGAAAGTAAGCTTGGTCATGTCGATTAATGCCGTGACAAGAACAAGAAACTGCTTGGTTTTCATCTCTGAACAATCTAAAAACCAATCGCCAACTTTTCCTTTGCACAAGATAAATTCACCAAAATTATTCAAACGAATCATCTGTATCTAGGGCAGATTTTTAGAAAAATTTTTCTTCCTAGCGTTTGATCAGATCACCTGGCAAGAATAGTCATATGTCTAAATGAAAGAGTCTCATGAATGAATAAATGAGTTTGAAACATGAGTGTGAATATTAATGAAGCGAAAATCAACATCTACATCCGTAGTTACATTCACATCCATCTACACTATTCTTGAGTATAGTATATGAAAATGTTGTGAGTTTGTTAATAGGAACAAAAAAATTGTAGAAGTCACCAGTAAATCAGAACTGTATCAATTTGTTCCATAGTGCTTTTCTGCAGAAGATCACAATAAATGCAATTTTCTCTGAACAGAAATTTCATTAATATTTATTTTAGTTAACATTTTTTATCGATCTAGAATTTATCGTATGTAAAATCTATTTGAATCAGATAAAAATTTCTCTCTATACAAGTAGTAAGAAAATATCATCTTTGACATTCTGAAGTTTGATAGTGTGCTAGAAATTCTGCCATCTGCTACTTCAAACATAATTTTATTGGATTAGAATATGACAACAGCAACTTGGATACTGAGGACAAGACGAGAAAATTTTTGGATAAGTTAATTCCGGACGAGTAGATTATTTGCTTATCTAATTTAATGAGTGAAATGTTTTGTGTCAGCTTTTTATTCGCGCTTAGTCAATTAGATTATCTATCTCATTCATATTTTGCTTTGACATCACGAATACGTAGCTTTATATGTCTCGCTAATCAACAAAATATTTGTATCATTCATGATTTTCATTCGTAAGTTATCTCACTTACAAAAAAACCTCTCGGATTTCTTCTAGTTCCTCGTAATCTCACACACAATCAAGATGGATAATGCTCTCGTCATTCTTATTAATCTTTTAATCGTTATCTTCATACTTATCTTTCTCTTATGTTGTATTTATTCCATTCCACTTATATTCATCAGCCATTTCCATAATCGTTACAATATATTTACACTCAACATATCCTTGATACTCATGTGCGTATCTATCTATTGGATTGTTGTCTTTACTTTACAGCAATTCGACTTTACAGCATTGCAAAATAACATCGCATGTGCTATCCTAGAGTTTAATACAATGTTGTGGAATAGCCAATTTACATTCTCCTTGATTATTGTTTCTATCAATCGATGTTGTGCTATAATATATGGAAGAAAACCATTTTTCAAGACAAAGAAATGGGTAGCTATATCTATTTTGGGTCAATGGATAATTGGTTGTATACTATGTATACCGACTATTACAACTGTAGGGCCGGTAAGAATTATTTTTGAGTGATAGTTAATTATTAGAAGTCCAACGTGATGATCAAACGTCATATAATCATATTATGTCATTGAGAATAGCACAATGTTATCGAAACACAAAACTTGGTGGGATTGATCAATCATTAAAGTTAGTATGATTGGCCAATGTATTTATCAAGAGACACATAATAGACAGAATAATTGTGTGAAAAAGATCTTTCTGATATCTAAAGATGCTCTTAGTTAAGTTTATCTGTCCCTTTGTGTTTCGGATACACAATACAGAAAAGAATTTTTCGAACGATTTTTTTCGCTTACAACTCTGTTAGAAGCTATCTTTTGGGTTGCAGTTTATATCAATAGAATAAGCCATATCTATATTATATCCACAGAAAAAATAATTATATCTAAATAATGAGTTATAGTTATGATGAATTAGCAATTATGTAAAACTTAATGATGAAGATACTATACTTTACATCGAAAAAATGTTCAAACATCTACTCATTCATTACTCATAGAAGTACATATTAGAAAATTGACGCGCAGTCAATCAGACCTCATTTAGTAAGATAAAAAGAACTGAATTGTCATTCATCAGCTATCAGTAATATTTTTTCAAGGTCATTAGAGTCTTGCACAAACTAGCTGAAGATGAAAGTCTTTTTATTAATCTCCTCCGATTCATTGTCCCTCAATAGTCGATTGTATATTCTATCGTACTATCCACCAGTTTATATTGACATATAAATTTATTGAAAATGATTAGGTTATCAACTCTGTCGTTAGGTAGAATATCGATTGCTAATAATGTTTGCTAATGATAAAGATGAAAATAAATATAATTTTTTGATCTATTTGAAGTATTGTACACGACAACCATGGGTGAATATCTACGCGCTATTCATTGTTGTTGTTTTTCCTGCATTAGTCTCTCTCGTCGTCAATATGCGCATATTTATTTATGTTCGTTCTTCATCTAGTCAAGTTCAACCCCAAGGTCAAACAACTGGAACACAAACATCTGGTGGTAATCTTCACAATCAGCAATTGAGTCGTCGTGATACTCATCTACTACGACATATTGTCTTCATGTTCTGCATATACTTTGGAGGTTGGAGTCCAGTCTACATATATTACAGTATTCCGTGGTACTTCAGTATCGGACCAGTGACGTATCTTTCTCTCGTAGGTGTGGCACAGGTAAGTCTCCTATGTGAAATCGTCAATTTATTTGTTTACAATAAAGAATTAACACAGTATTTAAAACCCAAAATTCAACGATTTGGTCAAATATTACATTGCGTTTCATAAACTCGACACACTGTGTAACTGATTTTTTCGATTATGGGGTTTTCTCGTGTCTTCACTTTAATTAAAACTTTGGTCAGCTGACTCCCTTCCTCTCTTCTTGTACTTACGTACTGTTCCTCAAACATTGCGCTTCAATAGATGTTGTACTTGTTGCTCTGTTTACTCCTCTATATATTGAGATGAAAATAAATGTAAAGAAACAATTGAAACTATCATGATTTTCTTCATAATATATCAATATTCTGAATCGATCGTTTATGTTTTACATCTTTAAGTTGATTGATGGCATTCGAAACGATGAAGCAAATCTGAACAGAGTACATTTTCTTTCTAACAGTGTACCACATCAGTTAATACTCATCAATTATAGTATTTAATTTTTCCGTCTATCTATTGGAAGCGTATTGATACCAGCATTGAAAAATTCTTCCGTGATCTTGAATATAGCAACATTTTGATTGAAATTTTAAATTTGCTCCAAAGATATAACTGAATATTGATTTGACAGAGTGAGAAACTACGTTTTCGTTCAAGTCGAACTATGGAAAGAAACTGTCCGATATTTGTTTCTACTGTACTGATCCTATCGAAATACAGAATTTTCAGACGAATCGTTGTCAAAACTCGGAGACTAATATATTTAAACGGACATAGTCGTTCCTTTTCTTTTAAATAGTAAAAACTCAACCCGCCAAAAAGATCAGCTCACACAAAGAAATTTTTTAAGATTAAGATAGTCATGATATTGGCTTACATGCATTATAATATAAGCATTTGAAAATTTATTACCATAAGTAAATGTTCTGATGAAGGATCAGCTAGTACTTATTGCAAATCAACATAAGTTTTAATGCTTATTTTCCTTTATGAACAAGTAACCTATGTGTATTCAAAAGCTTTTACGATGATTGAATATGAAAACGTCGGAGGTGGATGTAGGTGTAACGTATGGATGTTCTTATTTGTTTCGCCGAAAGCCACATCCAAACTCATACTCTCTCTTACAGTGTACCACAAGTAATTATTACTTTAAAAAATAGTTTATCGAACTAAAACAATGAATTTATCGAATATCGTAAACATCTCCATTTTGACTAAAGTAGATTTAGCTTCGCAAATTCTGTAACAAGTGCTAATGAATCTTTTGCTTGGCAGCAATTATTTGTGGTACCAAAAGCTTTCATAGTTAGTTATTTCAGTGAGTTTCATATCTGCCAAACTCTTGAATTTTATGATGAATACAACAAAATGACTAATGAAGGAGAAAGTAATGATGAAATCCAAGACACTTTCCAAGCATACAACTATTTGATATTCCAGGTCAATACAAAAGAACATTGCAAAACGATGATTTGTTGATTGTTGATAAGATGGTTACAAGACGACAACGAATGCTTTTATTTGCCTCATCTGAACAATTAAAAATGCTCTTTAAAATAGAAATCATATTCATGGATAGAACATTCTCGACTTGTCAAAAAAATTTTTGATCAAATATGAGCAAGATAGGTAATTAGTTTTGCTCGTAATTATCTATATGGGTCTAATTATTTTTCTGTTTAGCGTTTTCCTGTGATTTTAGCTTGTTACCAAGTAGATGCAAAAGTACATAGCAGTATTTGGTCACTGAGTTAAAGTCAATAGCTGTGCAAATAAAATTTGACTGTGCATCGAAAATCATTATGACTGAGTTTGAACCAGTTTGAATGGATGTCATTGAAGCTAAACTAGGCTTTTTCTATATTTGTCTTGGGTGAGGCACATGTTTGAACTTTTTTTATCTTATAATTTAATACATTAATGCATGCATCTTGCCACTAGTACTTCACTCAAGCGATGTATCGTAAAATATAGCGACTTGGATTATCCTTAAATTACAAGAACAACGATAATATTACAAATTCATATTGACAGTTAATGGCTTTCCTATTATTATAAGAAACTATTATTGCAGACACCTACAATCAATTAGTATGAAATTTCTCAATAAAAAATAGAAAAAACATTGAATAATTTATCAGGACATTTTCAAGAATAATAGTTTGAGAAAGTTCATATTTCTCATTATTATGTCCATAGTTTGACTACGGACAAGAGAAGCGGCTTTGTTAATATCAATAGATGTCACTTGATGACGCTAATCTTTCCACTTTCCATTCTCTCTGATGTTTTTCCTCCATCTTCCATTCTTGATGATTGTTGATGCTTTCTCCTCTTGAAAAACTTTACCATCTTCATCGTCACCATCGCTGCTACTATATATTAAGTTGTTGTTTTCAATAAATAAATAAATAAATAAAAACATAGTAAAACCTACAACAATACATTTTGATATATCGCAAAGAAAAATTAGGGTAAGCATTGCACATGAATTCTCATGTTTTTAAACAGTCCAAGCCCCTGTTTATTTACCATTTAACCTTTATGATGAATAGAGACTGAAGATATGAATATATTTTCAATTTACAAACTCACATATTTCATCATATGCGTACTATCAGCTGGCCCAAAATGATTGCGACATTTTCGTTTTGCGTAAAGCTCAGCTTAATGAAGTAATTAAAACATGAATTCTATTTTCAAAAGATGTACAATTGTATATTCAATCCAAATCACAAGACAAGCTTTTAGTCGCTTTTTTCTGATTGGTACCAAAGGAGCAAAAATGACTATGCTCATCATCAAGGCATTTCCTACGGAGGAATATGCGAATATTTTACTTAGGGGTACCCAAAAGTAGTGGCGGAGGTACATTATTGTCGTATAGAAGGCTTGAGAAAATTTTCTTTTTATATGAAATGATAGAGAAAATAAAACTATATTTTTCTGCACTATTTCATCCCTATTCACCTGGTACCATAATAATAAAAGTTCGATAGAAACTTTTTTTGCTGAAAACTTAACTTACAGATAAGACAGATTATATGGTTACATTTTGTATTTCAATTTCGAATCACTTAATACGGTGTAATAAAAAACAAAATACACCATAGGATGCAGCATGAAAAACTACAATTTACATAGGACGGCTTATTTTATAGTTGCACTTTTTCTTTTTGGTAATTAGCAATATTTTCAGCGATCAATTTTCGACCGTTCGAAAACCCTAGTTTTTGGTACAAGATGAATTTTGTTTTTTCTTATTTTATCTTTTTATCACCTGATATCTTTTATTTAAAAAAAAACAAAATACATCAGAAGACGCAGCGTGAAAAGCTGTACAACTTATATAAGACCATTTATTTTAGTTACGTACTTCTTATTTGAAATAAAAGCAAAATTCTGTGTGACTGTCTCGAAAAAATCATTTTTTTTTCTTTACGAAGAGAAATTCCTTTGTTCTTGTCTCATATATGAAATAAACTGTCTCATGTAAATTGTAGAGCTTTTCACGCTGTATCTTGTGGTATATTTTGTTTTTTATTACAATGTATTAAGTGATTCAAAATTGAAATACAAAATGTAACCATATAATTTGTCTCATCCGTAAGTTAAGTTTTCAACAAAAACGGTTTCTATCGACATTTTATTAGTATAGTACCAGATGAATAGGGATGAAATAGTACGGAAAAATAGAGTTTTGTTTTCTCTATCATTTCATGAAAATAGAAAATTTCCTAAAGCCTTCTATACGACAATAATGTACCTCCGCCACTACTTTTGGGTACCCCTAAGTATAATGATAACATACATGGATAGAATGTCCTTCTCCAGTAGAATAGATTGTATTTGATAAATATTCTTTATGAACATGTGCTGGACGTGTATGATGATAAGATGAATATTTTAAATCATTTTCTTCATCACTGATTGTTGATGAGCCTGTTAATGTTACATCTTGATCAAGTAATTGTTCATTAGTATTGTCATTATCTAGAATTTAATAGAAAATTCTTAAAGTAAAATCATATTATAATATTTGATTTGATTTTTAATTTCGAGAATGTTCTTCTTTTCAATTTTATTATTATCGATATTAAAATACGTAAAAGTAGTTCATTAAAATTATCTTCATATTATATTTTAGTAGAGATTATTTAATCATAGAAATTTATTTTGACTAAAGGTAATCAAGAACTATTTTCTTTCAAAAGCAAAAAAAAAAAAAAAGACATAAGTTTTTCATCAGTCAATTCGAGATATTTTCTGATTTAGAATTTCATTATGCTTAAATACACTTAAAAATTTTCACAAGAAATCGAATGAAATCTCATTCAATGATTCTTATATCGCAAATGAATATATTAAATTCCTTTTCTTTCGGACAAAAAATCATGACTTTCTATTATGAAAATTTATATTGCTCTTTCAAAAGTGGTCTTCTATTATATGCGAGTTTTTACTAATATTTACTGAGAAAATCAAGAGTTTTGGAAAAAAATTCTGATATTCAAATAGACGCTATAAGCAACTAATAAGGGAATATCTGCAAGTGTTGAATTGCTTTTTGATCAAGGCTGCACTCAGATGATACACTATGATGAGCAGTGTCAAAGTCTAACGAGGGAAGATCCTCAACTGATCAATCTCTTTTGTGTTGAGACTATGTACGTACAAATGAGTTATGAATATCCTAATAAAAGTTTGGACTGCTAGCTTATCGCTACAGAGATATTGCACTTTTACGGTATGTTTTTAAATAAATGTCGTGGTCCTTCTCAGCAAAGCCAAAAGAAATGAATTTCGACTTGAAACTTTACATAGAAACAGGTCTTACTGAGAATAGTGTTTTGTGATAGTTTCAGATCTTGTCGCTGTTCCTATCCGTAGATACAACTATAGTAACTTCATTCGGATAAACCAGAAGCTTTCATGTTCTCATTTCAGAATAGGAGCAGCGACAAGATCTGAAACTTCCATAAAACACTATTTTCAGTAAGACCTATTTCTATGTAAAGTTTCAATTCGAAAATAATTTTTTCTGGTTTTTCTGAGGGGGACCACGGCGTTCATTTAAAAACATACCGTAAAAGTGCAATATCTCCGTAGCAATACGCTGTCAGTCCGAACGTTTTTCAGGGTATTCATAACTCATTTGTACGTACATAATGCACATAGTCTCAACACACAAGCGATTGATCAGTTGCGAACCTTCCCTCGTAAGATAGTTCGATTTGTTGAACCATTTTTCTTGAGATATCGAATTTTTACTGGTTTTTTTTTTGAACTACAGCTTCTGCTCAGATCATCATGAAAATCCAATTTAGACTTGAAACTTTGTAAAAATAAAACTTTCAAAAATATATTATTTCACTGATTTTAATACTTCACATCCAGAGATATCAGTATAATACGAAGAACGTTTCTTTTTTTTTTTTTAATCAGAAAGTTTTCATTATTCCTATCTCAAAATAGGGCATACAAAAAACATTGAAACTTTTGCAATGAACTAATATCATGAAGAGTTTTATTTGTACAGAGTTTCATCGTGATCTGAAGAGAACCACAGGTTTTGATTAAGAGATCCAGTAAAAAAATTTAATATATATCGAGAACAAAGGCTCAGCTAGGCGAACTATCTTAGGGCTTTGACATTGTTAGAAAACAAAATTTTTTACTAGACAAAAAGTGATGTTTTAGGTGTTGAACCCTTAAAATGTGCTGAGTTTTCGAAAAAAGATTTTAGAAGATCCATGACTTTCTCTAAGACCTTGTGAAATTTTTCTTATGAATAGTCTTCTATTCTCGGTGAGGAGGGTTTACTATAATATCATGTAAATTACAAATGTAAGAATTATAGTTCATTCATATATTCTAAATGGATGAGAAACATTAAAACATACTCCTTTGTTTGCAATATTCTCGTTGTTGTTTTTCATTAGTTGTTGTGTCTAATTCATGTTCATCTTTAAATAATACAGACATAGCTTCCATATTTAAAGCACAAATACCACGCATAAAAGCCTTTTTAAGAGGTTCATCATGTAAATTTTTATCAATTTTTAATCGAGCTATTTCTTCATTTGCATTTAATATTTGTAATTCTAATTGTTTATATTTTATTTCATATCGATTACTTAATTCATAAAGAATAGTTTTCGATTTTTTTTGACATGCTAATTCAAAACGTTTTTTCCATTCTCGTTCAATTAGATGTTTCCAAGTGGTTAATGTTTTCTAGTAGAAGAATATTATTAATATAAATATAAGCAAAAATATAATTCATACTCTTTTCAATTTTTCTTCATAAAAACGTTTAGTTAATAATAATATATATTTCTCTTGTATTATTTTACTATAAATTATACGCCATTCATAATAATGATGATAAACAATAGTTTTATTATAAAGTAAATCTAATGCTTTATGAAGATTTTTTTCTGTTTGATCTTTTTGATCAACAATATGTTCATAATGTATTAGCATTTCACGCATAATTTTTATATCTTCATTCAAACGAATATATTCTTTTGCTTGACTAAAATAAAATTCAATATTTATATATTTTTGTTTTCTTAATATTATTTTTTTTAATTTACATTTCTTTTTCATGTAAAATATTTTGTTGAGCGTCTTCAAGAAATTGTAAACGTAATCTATCGAATTCATTCTTCAAAACAAAAAGAATTTTATTAGATAAAAATAAAGAAAAAGAATAGAACTTTATACTATTAAATTTTTTTTCATGTCTAAATACCAATGATCCAGTTTTTCAGTTATTAATTTTGTTTCCAAATCAAATGTTACTAATTCTGAATAATGGAAAACATGATGAGAATAGAAACAAGCAAAAATACATTATATTAATATGATCAGTGTAAATAGCTCGAGTCACAGAGAATTTAATCCAACATTTTGTAATACAATTGAAGATACTTTATTTCATTCGTTATTTTAGAATGTATTGAAATTCGACTAAGTACTAACAACCACGTAGAATGATACCATAGTCAATTAAATTTTTATTGTTAAATAGATTCAAATGTTTGGGCTTGGATACGATATATCCAAAATTCAGAAGAATCAACCATGGTTAAGGTTAAAGATGAACGTTTAGCACGTTCTAGAAGAGCCACATCAGTGACCAATAAAAACATGTCAATTCAAGTACAACAAGAATATTTCGATGGCTTTTTGACTTTTAATAGTTAGTGAAAAAGATTGTGTTCTTTTTGCTATTGATATATTAAGGTATTTCATATAATCGATCAGGACGACCTGGATTATAAACCTAAGAAAAATTAGATATTTCAATTTTGTTTCGTTGATGATTTGTTTTTCAGCGCAATAAATCTTCTCTTGATGCCACAATACAGTCATATTTTTTTTTTGATTGCCCAAAAAGATGCCCGTAATCAGGATGTACCCAGCTCATCATTCTTTTCTCTACTCACTATCTTCAATAATAGAATTGGTTCTATTCAAGAAAAAGGTTACGACATATCCTTGGAGTTTATTTAGTTCTCACCATTATTAGACATTGTCATATCAGTACGATATATTCCTGGGCTACTTAAATCAATAAGATCAGTAACAAGTTCATCTAAAACAAGAAATATACGAGTCATATAAAAGTAAATTTTTTTTTTTATTGCTCGATCCAGTTATAATTTGATTACTTGAAAAGGTATTATTTCGTCGTAATACATCATCATATTCATTCTGAATAAAACAATAAAAGTTACATAGTCAAACTATCCTTTAACTAACCTTTAAGTGTGATGATACAAAAGATCTAGGAAAATCGAAATTAACTGACATTTTATTTATTATAAAAATTCATCTGAAACAATAAACAAAGATATCAAGTTTTTATTTTTATTTTATTTTAATCTTCTAACAAATCAAAAGAAAAACAAAAGAGAACAACAATTAAGGTTCATCGGGCGGTGGTGGTTGATCTTTTTGTGTATCATATGAATGTAATGCATGTAAAAGTTTTTTTTCTATTTTATTTAATGCTCGAATTGTTAATACTAATGTTGTATGTTTTAATATACTATAAACATTCAAACCTAAAAAGAAAAATATGATCGAAAAAATCTAAATTAAAATACAAAAAATATCTATTTACCATAAACCGGCATCAATGTAAATCCTTCAGTTTTAGCACATGCAAACATAATATTATGTGGCATAATATCCGTACTATAATAACAAACAACTAGATAATTATTATTTATTTAATAACATACTCATCAACAAAGAGAATCGACTGTCCCCAAAAAACGATCTTCAGTTAATTCTTGAAGGTACTATAAAAAAAAAATAATAAACTACTAGCATAATCCCTACGAGATTAAAATGTAAAACACGATGCAGCTACTATTGCTAATCACATGAAGATTGCTTTATTTTATCTATGTTGCAACAGATACAAGGAATTAATTAGTATCGGGACCAGAAGTCAAGACAGTTGGATGTTTTTTTGAATAACTTTTGATAGGAACAAGATAGAGACTTGCGGTTTTCAGCGTTCGACAGTGGACAGAGGAGAGCATCCAGGCATCTCAATATCTGTTAGTCTTGAATTTGACCAATCATGTGAATTTCTCAATACAAGATTTCAGAACGAGATTCCAAAGAAAATTTCCGTAACATTTTGACTTGTGAAACAACTATTCTATACAAAAAATTATTCCCCTTCTATCTACGCAAACTCTACATGTCTAGCATGTTCATCTCAGGAATCCCGAGTTTTGACCAGTTGACCTCTGATCAATGAGAAATATTTCTCGAAAGGGATAATTTGCCATGCCAAGTCCACTAGTGATATTTGTTCTTCGTTTCACAACAATCTAACATATTTGCAGAGTGGTTTTAGAAACTTCATATTTTTTCACTAAACAATAAAAAAAACTAATGTTTTGAAAACCCAGTATATAGTTGTTGGATCGTTGTGAAACGAAGAACAAATATTACTAGTGGACTTGACATGACAAATTATTCCCTTCGAGACATATTTTTCACTGACCAGAGGTCAACTAGTCAAAACTCAGAGTTTCTCATAATATTTCCTGAAAGGAACATACTAGGAATGTGGACCTTGCGTCAATAGAAAGAGAATGATTTTCTGTATAGAATAATCGTTTTACAAGTCAAAATATTATGGAAATTTTCTTTGGAATCTCGTTCTGAAATATTGTATTGAGAAATTCACATGATTGGTCAAATTCAAGACTAACAGAAATCGAGATATCTGGATGCTCTCCTCTGTCGAACGCTGAAAACCGTAGGTCTCTATCTTATTCCTATGAAGAATTATTCAACAAACATCCAACTGTCTTGACTTCTGGCGCCTAGATCTTAGGGATATACGATCTTTGATCATATATCAAAAATCTCTGTTATGGTTTATTAACGAGTACAATCTTCTTTATCTCTCTTCTTCAATACTCCTTTTCATATCGTATTTTACAAAAGAAAATAATATTAAAATACGAAATAAATCTTCATACTGTTGGTTGATGAGTTGGTAAATCAAGTGAATCAACAAAATGAACATCATTCTATGAGAAAAGTAGGTGAAAAATAACAAAAAAAAAAAAAAAAGAAGAATTTGATTAAGTATACTTGATGTAGTTTAACAGTTAATGCTGTACAAAGACCTTCAATACGTTTTTCTTTTGGAAGAACATAAAAGAATGATGTTGGACCTTTTGGTCCATTGACTTTATAACCACCTTTCCATTGAGGACCAAAACGTGATTTATGTCGTGCTCGACCAGTTCCTTTTTGTGGCCAAGGTTTTGCTCTCATATTTGGATATTCATGATGTGGTGGTGTATATGCCCAATCCTTTATTTAGAAAAATAATAATAATAATCATAATATGATTAAATATTATTTTAAACGGCTTCGCTTACAATTTTTTTATAATTTTTTTGCCATTCAATATTTTCATAGAGAATATCCAATCTACGATTACAGTATGAATAAATATATAGATGATTAATAAATAAATACCTTGGTGATGTTTGCCAAATCGATGGATGTAAATCGACAATACCTAATTTTTCATCACGTTTTTGTCCTAATGTTTCAAGCCAAGCTTGTAATGGTGGATAGCGTATATGAGGATATTCAATTTGTCGACTGACAATTAATGGAAGTTGTTGAGGAATAGGATTTGGTGGTGACTCGGCTTAAAATATTTTATTATGATTTTATTGAATAAAATTTCAATAAAAAAAAAAAACAATTAGCATACGAGAAAAAGTTGATGATTGTGTAGAACTCTCAAAATATCGAACAGGTCGAACGATCGAACAATATCGTAGAATCTATGATAAACTTATTTTGCAAAATCTTCGACAAGAAAAGAATGAAATTACCTTGGCTAGAGATAAAGATTTGATCATTATTGATTTATAATGACAATACTTTTTTAATTATCAAAGATTCTCTAATATAAAATAAAATCTACTGAAAATTATGAATCACATATACCAAATCTCTATTGGTATTTGTCAGATGGCTTTTTTTTTCGATAGAGGACGTACTAGTTCAACATGATGTTTTCAAAGCTGAGTAATCGAAGTTTATGATCGTTTAAATTTTCACGATGATGAAAAGAAACAAAACACAATAGGATTTCTATCACCAATGAGCCAATGACAAAAACTTCTATTTGCCCAAAATTCTGACTCCGCCACTGCAATAAACTCATGCCAAAAATTTTCCAAACTGTAATTATTAGTAGCGAAGCTGAGTGATGGCTGACATATACGCATCCATCTCGGCTTCAAATAGGGATTGAGTTTTTCTTACAAACTTTTTCTAGTTTCATCACTAAATGTTGTGCTTTAATAATAAAATCTTGCTTGTTAAGATTATTTTTTTTTTTATATGAAAAACATAAATAATCACCAAAATATATATATGTAGTTTTTCACATGGGCGGGCCGGCATAGGGGCGAGAGGGGGCAATTGCCCCCCCCCCCCCCAAAACATTTTTTTGGGGGGGGCCTCGCGAGCAGGCCAAGAAAAGAAACGGCTTTTAAGGAAAAA